ATGGTGTAGTTTGCAAACGTTTTCTCCCATACCATAGGTTGTTTCTTCACTGTATTGGTTGTTTCCTTTGTTGTATAGAAGCTTCTTACTTTGATGAAGTCCCATTTGTCTATTTTTATTTTCACTGCTTGTACTTTTGGGGTCATATCTAAAATTTATTGCTCAAACCAATACCAAGAAATTTTTTCTTATATTTTCTTCTAGTAGTTTCACAGTTTCTGGTCTTGCATATAAGGCTTTAATCCATTTTGAGTTGATTTTTATAAATAATATGCAGTAAGGTTCTGACTTAATCTTTTGTGTGTGAATATCCAGTTTTCCTAACACTATATTGAAGAGATGGCACTTTTCCTATTTCAATTGTGTTTGGCACCTTTATCAAAGATAATTGACAGTAAATATCTGAGTTTATTTCTGGACTCTCTGCTTTATGCCATTTGTCTACACACTTTTTTAAAAATGTAAGTACCATGCTGCTTTGATTACTCTAAGTTTGTAATATACTTTGAAATGTGGTAGTGTGATGGTTCTAGTTTTGTTCTTCTAGGATAATGTAGAAGAAATACAGAAATTCCTAGAAATATTTACCAATTTACCAAGACTGAATCATGCAGAAATAGAAAATCTGAACAGATCAATACAAGTAAGGAGATTGAATCAGTATTCAAAAAAATTCCTAATTAAAAAAAAAAATCCCAGCACTTCCTGGTTTCATTGGTGAATTCCAAACATTAAATAAGAATTAATGCCAATTCTCAAACTCTCCCGAGAAAACTAAAGAGGATGGAATATTTCCAAACTAATTTTATAAGCCCAGCAGTACTCTGATATTAAAGCCAGACAAGGACACTATGAGAAAAGGAAATCACAGGGTAGTATTTCTAATGAGCATAGATCTAAAAATCTTTAATGAAACACTAGCAACTAAATTCAACAGCATATTTACAGGATTATACATCACAATCAATGCAAGGTTGAAATGCAAGGTTGGTTCAACTTACGCAAATCAATAAATGTGATACAACACAAAATGAAGGATAAAAATTCTACAATCATTTCAGTAGATAGATAAAAAACATTTGAAAAATTTCAACATCATTTCATTAGATATGTATGTCAAACTTTGAAAATAAGATATTCTCTAGAAGGAGATAATAAAATGAACCTGGAAGAACATATGTTCTCTATAGAGTTTGAATATTACTTGCAAGTCCTAAAACAATGTCTGCTTTTAGCTCTGGGGTCCAGGAATGCTACTTAAAAAGTATGGCCCACTTAGGGGTTAGGGTTGTGGCTCAGTGGCAGAGCACTTGCCTGCACATGTGAGGCAAAGGATTTGATCCTCAGTAACACATAAAAAAATGAATTAACAAAGTAAATACATTGTGTCCATGTATAATTAAAAATATTTTTTTAAAAAAGTATGGCCCACTTGGAATACAAATTAGGTGCCATCTTTTAAATATTCAAATTAATCACTGACAAACCCATTTACTCAAACTAGCAGCATTTTAAAGTAGTTCTTTCTTTGGGGCCTTCTTTGAGTCCACTTCAGGTAAACTTCTGGGAGTTTGCTCATTCTGAGGAGACTAAGCTTTCCAGCTGTTAGGTGAAGAAAGAGATGGATAGTTGGATATCATTTGAGCTACTACTGATTTTGTCACTATTGCATGGTTTCATAGTTCAAAACTGGTCCCAACAAATTTGATGTATTCTTGCTCTTGTTGATGTGATGCCACTGACCTTAGTGAATCTGAATGAGAGGATGATGAACTCGTTTTTAGTATTGTGCTCATTCAAGGGCTGTATCACAGGGCTTTATTTCTTTAATTTATGTTCATATACCTAGTCATCCTGGCTTCCGTGCTAGGTTAGATGTGTGAGAAGGTCCTTTTAGCCCATTTCTACACTGTACCACAATCTACCCTCCTTTTTTTGATCTGGAATAGCAAACTAGTGGTCTGTGACCCAAATACAGCTAGCAGATATGTTTTGTTTAATGCTGTATATTATCACTAATTAGGCCATAATTAAGTTGTCCACTAAAGTGATTCTTCACACAGTAATGAAGACCAGCTTCAAGTAGGTTGTCTCTACCCAAGTAGAGAGACACTTTCTTTAAAAAATTGAGATATAATTTACATGTCATAAACACTCTCATTATAAGTGTAGAATTCGGTGTTGATTAGTAAATGTATAGGATTGTACAACCATTGCCACAATTGCTTTAGAAAATTTTCATCACTCCAAAACATTTCTTGGTACCCAGATGTAACCAATCCCCACCTCACCCAACCTCAGATAAACACTGGTCTACTTTTCTGTCTTTAAATTTCCTTTCTAGACTTTTTATAAAATTGGAAACGTATACTCTGTAATCTATTGTTTCTGACTTCTTTAATTTCAAATACTTTTGTGGTTCATCTATGTTGTAGAATTAGTTCCTCATTGAATTAGACCATGTTATATGGCTATAGCACATTTTCTTTATCCATTCTTCTTAAAAACAAGAGAATTGTTTTCCATTTTGTGCTATTGGGATGTTAGTATATACATTTAAAAACAAGTCTCTGTGAACATGTGTTTTTATTTCTCTTGAGTAGTTATCTAGAAGGGAAACTATTGGTTCATATAAGTTTATATTTACATTCTCAAGAAACTGCTAAACTGCTTTCCAAAGTGACTTACCATCTTACATTCCTATGGTAACGTAAGAAGGTTCCAGTTTCTTCATGTATTCATCAGTATTTGGTATCATCAGTCTTTTTTGTTACAGTCATTCTTCAGGTAGGAAATGGTATTTCACAATTATAATGTCAGTTTTTATTTCCTTAACAGCTGATGACATTGAGCGTATTTCATGCTTTTAGAAGCCATTTGTATATAATTTTTGTTTGTTTGTTTTGTTTTTATGGTGCTGGGGATTGAACTCAGAGCCTTGTGCATGTGAGGCAAGCACTCTACCAATTGAGCTATATCCAGCCCTTGTGTATAAATTTTGGAGGAATGTATTTTCAAATATTTTGTCCACTTTCAAAAATTGAGTTGTTTGTCTTCTTTTTATCAAGTCTCAAAACTTTAGACTGAATACAAGTTCAGAATATATAAATATGTGTATTCTGAAAGTATATATTTTCTCAATATATTGAGATATTCCTTTTCATTATTCCTTGTCTTGTTGTTTTATAAAATAATATTTTTGTAAAGTAAGTTAGTAATTTCACTGAAGTTCAGTTTATCTTTTTTCCCTTTGTGGATTGTTAAAGAACTTAAAAAATCTTTCTCTAACACAAAGGAATGAATATTTTTAATCTGTGCTTTCTCCTATAGTCCATTTTTTTGAGTTAAGTTTTGTATATGGTGTTAGATATGAATCAAAATTCTTATATTCATTTTCCAAAGGAATGAATATTTTTAATCTGTGCTTTCTCCTATAGTCCATTTTTTGAGTTAAGTTTTGTATATGGTGTTAGATATGAATCAAAATTCTTTTATATATATAAATTCATTTTCCAACAAATGAAGCAGTAAAAATTATATATATAATATATAATTTTTACTGCTTCATTTGTTGGAAAGACTTTCTTTTCTCCAAATCTTTGTCAAAAATCAATTTGCCATAAGTATATAGGTTCATTTCTGAATTCTCAATTATGTGCCAGCAAACTAAACCTATGTTTATGTTAATTCCACAGTGTCTTGATTACTCTATAAAATATGATTACTCTATAAAAACTTTATAAAAAAGAAGAACAAAGAGGACTTATGCCTTTTATAAAAAAGAATATATTTATATATATATATTCTTTTTTATATTCTTTTTTCCTATTCTAAATCTTGTATTTCTAAATCAATTTTAGGATTAGCTCATTGGTTTCTATGACATACTTCATAGATAGTATGTCAAATCTACAAATTGGTTTGTATGTAGAGAATTGCCATCTTAACAATATTGAGTCTTTCAATCCATGAATGTGAAATGTCTGTCCTTTTATGTTGATGCTATTAAATTATTTTTTAAAAAAATTTTTCAGTTGTAGTTGGACACAATACCTTTATTTTATTTATTTTTATGTGTTGCTGAGGATTGAACCCAGTGCCTCACACGCGCTAGGTGAGTGCTCTACCGCTGAGCCATGACCCCAGCCCTTAAATTATTTTCTAAGCATTTTATTTCTGTTGATATTATTGTGAATGGAGTTGTGCCTTAATTTCATTTTTGGATTGTTTATTATTGCTAGATAATTTTTTAGTTCTAGTAGTTCCTTTGTAGATTCCTTAGATTTTGAAAAGATAAAAATGACATTATCTTTACATAAAAAGTTTTATTTCTTATCAATCTGTATATCTTTAGTGCTTTTTTTTTTCCTTGCTATGTTGAACTAGCTAAAACCTTCAGTGCAAAGTAGCATACAAACGGGAGTGTCTCATACTCAGTCTTAAGAGGAACATATTCCATATTTTACCATTAAATATGTGAGCTACTGTAGTTTTTCACCCTCCTCATTTCTTTTATCTGTCTAGGGGAGTTCTTTCTAGTCTTAGTTTATCATGGCTTAATTTATGGAATGATGCTTCTGTATATATTCTCATGAATTTTTTTCAATTTCATTGACTCACAATTTTTTCTTTTTTGTTTTTTATTTGATTTGCTTGTCTGTGTTTTATTTTTTAAGGTGGCAACTTAAATTACTGACTTGAGAGATATCTTCCTTCTTATCTAAATGTTTAAAGCTATGAATTTCCCTCCAATTTTTCTTTTATCTGCATCCCATAAATGTTGATACATTGTAGGGTTTTCCATTAAGTTCAAAATATTTTCTATTTTCCCTTGAGATATCTTTGTGATTTAATATCCATGTATTTGGGGATTTCCAAATTTTTCTGTTGCTGATTCTTATTTTAATTATGCTTGATCACAGAATGTATTTTTGAAAGATTTAACAATCCTTTCAAATTAATTGCATCTTGTTATATTGTCAAGAATATAATTTTGGTGTGTACTTTAAAAGAATGTGCATTCTGTTGATGTCAGTCTGTATTTTATTATGTCAAAATTTTATGGTATTGTTCAAAATTTTATATATCCTTGTTAATTTTCTGCCTGGTTTCACTATCAGTTATTGAGAAGGAAGTATAAAATCTCCAACTTTTGTCATGTTCTGCATCACAAAGTTCCAGTGAATGATGGACAGCATATATAATGGTGAACCCATAAGATTATAGTGAGCTGAAAAATTCCTATCACCTATTGATATTGTAACCATCATATTTTCATTGTGCAATGCATTTTCACATCTTTGTGATAATGTTAGTGTAAATGAATCTGCTGCACTGCCAGTTATATAAAAATATAGTAAACACAATTATGTACAGTATATTATACTTGATAATAATAATAAACTACTAGGTTACTGGTTTATATATTTTCCTATATTATACTCTTTTTCATTAGTTTAGAATGTATCCCTTCTGCTTATATATTTAAAAAGTTTACTGTAAAACATGCCAGATTATACCAGCAGCAGTATCATACATATCATGTTTTGTGTTTACAGCATCTCTCTCTCTCTCTCTCTTTTTTTTCCCCCTTAGTACTGCGGGTTGAAACTAGGGGTACTATACCTCTAAGAGACTTCCTCACTCACCAACCCCCCCGCCCCAAACACTTTTTTTTTTTTGAGTCAGGGCCTTGTTAGTTTGCCCAGGCTGACCTTAGACTTGTGATCCTCCCACTTCAGCCTCCCAGTAGCTGGGATTACTCATGTACACCATGCACTCCCCTTACTGCATCCGTTGATTGCATAATTTTTTTGTGTGCTTGATTTAATTTCATGTTATTTTGTTCATCATGGCCCCTAAGCATGAAATCCATTGCTAATTTTGCCACTAAGGGACCAAGCCCTGACCTGGAAATGTAAAATTATTAGGGACTATATGTAAGTTGAAAATCAGTGATGGTTATTGCTCACTAGTCCCATCCCACCATAGCTGTGAGCTTGAAGAGCAAGAACAAAGTGCAAAGTGTTAAAGGATCTGCTTCATTGAAGTAAATGAAACTAACAAAAATTTAACAAAAACCTGTATTAATTATGGAGAAACTTCTAAAGCCCTCAATAGCACAGAAGGTATCCCTCTTAGCACCATAATGATCATGACCAAAGCAAAATGATTATATGCAAGCTTGAAAGAAAAGACTGGACTTAACTATGATGTTGAATTTACTGCTAGCTTTGGGTAGTTTAAAGGATTCCTGAATCATTATTCATTACATGTGAAAATGAATGGTGAATCTAAGTTCTGATGTGATGGCAGCTGAAGAATTTTTAGAAACTCTATATAAGCTCATTGTAGAGGAAAATTACTTGCCAGAGCAAATCTGACAAGAGCAATCTGGCAGAGTAATAGGCTAGGCCATATAGCCTAAGTGTATAGTAGTCTACATTATCTAAGTTTGTGTAACTATTCTATGTTTGTACAACAATGAAATTTCCTAATAATAGTAAGAGAAATATTATTAATGAATTATTTGTTTCTGCTTTCAGCATTATCTTAGTTGTTATTTCTCTGTGAGTGTTCTATTCCCATTTTGTTTTAGAGGATAGTTTTCCTGGCTAGAGAATTGCTGGTGGACACTTTTGTTTCTTTTTTCTTTTAGCACTTTGAGCATGTCATTTTGTTGCCTTCCCGTCTCTTTATTTCTAGCAAGAAGTCATCATTAATGATATTACTTTCCCCCTATACATGATTTTGCTTTTGCTGCTTTTCAGACTTTTTCCTTGCCTTGATCTTTCAACAACTTGGATATGATGTGTCTAGATATGTCTAGATATGGATCTCTTTGTATTTGTCCTAGTTGGCATTGGTTAAACAGCTTGGTTCTGTAGGATATTGTTTTCTCTCAAATTGGGACATTTTTAATCATTATATTCTTCAAGTGTTTTTTTTTTTCTTTACCCTTTGTCCCCTCCTCTCCTAATTCCTATTATATGTATGTTGATATCCTTGATATTCCAGAAATTTCTCAGATTCTGTTCCTTTTTCTCCCTTTTTCTTTGTGTCCTTCATATTGGATTATTTCTGTTGATCTATCCTCAAATGCACTGCTTTGATCATTTTGCTTTCTCAAATCTGCTACTGGGGGCTTATAATAAGTTTTAAATTTTTCATTATTGACTTTTCAAGTCATGTTTTTTAATAGTTTCTCTTTATAGATTGTATAATTGCCATTGTATTTTCCTTTAATTCTTTAAACATAATATCCTTTTAATTATTTGGCCCTATTTATAATAGATATTTTGAAATCTTTGCTAAATTCTACATCTGAGTTCATCCAGGAGCATTTTCTCTTGACTGCTTTTTCTCCTTATTAGGGATCACATAGTTTTTGTTAAAAAAAAAAATGTGTTTGTACCATCTTTGAATTCTGATTATTTTTTTCTTCTCTGTGGGTTACTTTTATATATCTTTTATTTCATTTTAATAACATCTTGGTCTTAATCTATGGAATCTGTATGCCCCAGATGTGTGACTGCTGATTTCTCTGTTCTATTTTTAGTCTTTTTTCCTCCACTTTAGAGTTTTATTTTTTTTTAACCTGGCTTCCTAAGGGTTTCTTGTGTCTCCAGAATTTAGTTGTATAATGTTCAATCAGAGGTTGTGTTCAAACACTTTCAGCTAGTCTGTGCTCATGGAACTGTGTATGGATTGGGAGCATATTTAATGTTCAGGCAATTTTTAGGTGTGTATCAGCTTTAGCTTTCCAATGGGCCCTCTTGGGTCTCCCTTGTTCATGTCACAGCTTCTTAATCAGCAAGTGACATGTGAATAGTTCCACCCTCTCTCATTTCCATTTTCCTTGTTAAATTGCTAGTCCACCAGTCTGCTGTTTACTTCTTGCAAGCCCATAACCTTAGAATAGTGAATCTGGGCATTTCTCCCATTAATTCTTTACAGTTTTTTTTTTTAATTGACAGTATTACTAATGTAGAGTTTGAGTCTTAAGTCCAAATCTCATAACTTCTCTGGTAGTGAAAATACTAGTTTTCATGACCAGCTCTACTCTGATAGAAGCATTGTACTGACTGAGCTGTGAAGAAATATGAGTAGCTATGGACAAGAACATCACAAACTCCCAGTATTCTCATGCAAAGTTCAGTATTATTTAATGAAATGCTTTCAGTTTGCTTGATTATCAAAACAATAAAACCATTGTTTTTGAAAATTTTGTCTAGCTTGACAGTTCATTTCTAGGGGGAAATTTTCTAAAGTACTATCTCCAGAATTTCAGAAGTCTTGCCTTACCAGGCAGCATTTTTTTTTAATGAATACATTTTGATCAACATAATAGTTTGGATTCATTGTTACATATTCCTACATACACATAATTCCCATAATTGTGTGTGTGTGTGTATATATATATACACACACACATATATTTTTTCTTCTCTCTAGCTTCCACATATGAGAGAAAACATAAGACCCTTGACTTTCTGAATTTGAATTATTTTGCTCAACATCATGCTCTCCTGTTCCATCCATTTTCCTGCAAATGTCATGATTTTGTTCTTATTTATGGCTGAGTAAAACACTATTGTGCATATATACCATATTTTCTTTATCCATTCATCTGTTGACAGGCATCTAGGCTGTTCCTTAACTGGCTATTGTAAATTCACTGCTATAAACTCGCTATAGTGTACTGACTTTAATTCTTTTGAAAAATGCCATGGAGTAGGATAGCCGGATTATATGGTGGCTCCATTCTTAGTCTTTTGAGGAACCTTCATACCCATTCCAAAGTGGTTGGACTAATTTACAGTCCTAACAACAGCCAATAAGCACAATCATTCCTTTTTCCCTACATCCTTATGAGATTTTATTATTACTGTATTCTTGTATGGATGCCATTGTAACTAGAGTGGGGTGAAATCAGTGTAGTATTGATTTGCTTGTCCCTGATTACTAAAAATGTTGAACATTTTTTCATATATTTATTGGCCAAACAAAGTTTTTCTTTTGAGAAATGTCTATATGGTTCATTTGACCTGGCAACTTTTAAATTTGGTAAATTTGGTTTCTCAAGTTCTACCTGACAAGGCACCATTCTCTAGGTCTTTGTACCATTTTTGTAAAAACTTGGGGTATCTGGGATTAGAACAACCTTTCACGATGCCATCCAGTCTGCCCATCTTGATGTACAACCTGTCATCTTATTCTTGTTTGATGTGAGGTATTTTATACTTAAACAATAACTGCCAGTAACTTTTTTCTATATTGTCTTTTTTTGAGTAGCATATGGATGGCATCTGATTCTGTTTGCAATGCTGAATTTAATGGAAGTTTATAAATAAATTATTCCTCCTTTATAAATGCATGTATATGTGTAAATATATGTATATATTGCATTATATTTTGTCTCTGCCATAATACAGAATGTTTAAATGGTTAACATTTGTGCTGCAGTATAGCTTTCTGGCTCATGAAAAATGAAAGCTATCAGCGATCTGGGCAATAAGATTCATCGCCAATAGTCACTAGCAACAGCACACAGCATTTTAATATCAGTGAGGTCCACAGCTAGCAGTAAGAGCTGGTGTAATTGAAAGACGTTTAGGTGCAATCATTCTGCTGTTTGTTCCTTGCCAGATTCAACATGGGATTGTGTGAGTATTTGAAGAAAACAGCGATTTTTCTATATCTTTGGAAGATGTAAAAAGGGTAGATCAGTGCTTAAATGTAAAGAATATGGTAATTTTAAAATCATGTAGCTCTAAAAGAGAAAGGTATTTTATTTGTTGTGGTTGATTAAAGCTTTAGAAATGCTACTCCTTGGTTACAAGTGAACCGATAATTCTGGTCTAATGTTGCCGTGGTAACAACTCATGCTGATATAATTGAGAACATCTTATACATCCTGGCTCGAACATTTTCTCCCTGCCATTTTGAGTTGTTCTGGAGGTATATGAAGGAGGCTAGGATAACTAGCTTGAAAGAAATTAAATCTAGTTATACACATTGTTGGCATTAATCTGATGTTTACTGGTGTTATCTCATGCTGGGCAGTTATGCTTTGCTTCTAGGGGTTTTTCTTTTTAAAACAAAAGAAAGCTCTTCTCATTTTCTGTGTGCTGCATGTTCCAGTGTATGTGTTTACACCATCGGTTCTTCTACCTCTAGAGATTAGCATAACTCCCTTTGCTGTTGGATTGTTGTTTTGAGCAATATGTTTTGGAAGGGTTGATTTTCATCATGAGTGGTAAGTATGCTCTCTGAGACTCTTCAGTTATATATGTATGTGTATATATATATTTTAAAATTAACTCTAAGAAGAAAAATATTTTTTAAAGAGACAGTTATAAAGTCAGGACTGCAATGAATTATTACATTTTGTGTTGATGCTTTTGCAATTAGGCATTATAGTATACTGCTTTTAAAAGCCACTGAGAACTGTGAAAAATTAATACCACTATTAGTAGTCTATTAATAATCAGTTTCAGTTTTCTTTATGGTTTGCTTTACTGTATTCATTAGGCATATTAATTGTTATACATTGAACAATAGAAGATTACCCATAATGAGAATTTGTTTTTAGTATCTGATCCTCAAGATAGTTTAACTTTCCTTTGATTAGCTTTGTCATCCTAATACTCATTTTTGTTAGCTTATTTTTTGACTATATTTTTTTAAAAAATACTCATCTTGAAAATAAAATGCTGTCAAAATGTTGTTGATTTTTCTTTTTTCTTGGATTGCTTTTAACTACAATTCATGGAGAAATTGGGATTTAATAATGAAATAGATGCATTTTGGTTTTGGAGGCTTTGTTACAATTTTTAAGAAATACTTCATTTGGGAAATAATTTATTGAAATAAGTACATTTGTGATGATTAGTCTTCTTTTCTTATCATAATATGATTTATTTTTTAAAATGTGTCCAAAAGTCTTTTCTTTTTTCTTTTGAAGAAAATATACTACAGTATATACTGCAGCTTATCTTAGGGCAAAAGCTGTTCCTTTCAAGCCAAACCTGCTGCTAAAAATAGATATCCTGTTGTTAGAGTGAGAAATGTTTGCTCAGAGCATAATTCATTAGCATCTTTTCACTTAACTAAAAATGAAGCTGTTTAGAAGTTAACCTCTGATTCAGATATCATTTTTAGAAGTAATATATGATTTCTCTGATAACATAATGGTTCTAAAATTTGTATTGAAAAGATTTGGAATTGGAATTTTGACCTAGGAGATTTGGGTTTTTGTTGTAAAATGATAAAATTCAAAGTCAAGGAACCTTTTCTTGGAGATCACCTCATTATCACCAATGCATTCTTTATCCTGCTGCAATACAACATAAACCACTTCAGTGCTATTATATATTTGTTTACAGAGTGATATCATATGCTAAAAGCACATTTTTTACATGTACAATATTAAGAATTGTCCACGTTATTATTTTTCAGTTTTCAATACAGACCTTCTAATCTAGTGTTTTAAGTCTGGACTAATATTATAAAATCAACATGTGAGCATAATTTCTATAATATGAAAACGAGGATACCTGGTCATGCTACTTGTCTTTGAATCAGTACAATGTGTGTTTTTTCTTTGAAAGTTGGGCATATAACCTAGAATCTTTAGGTAACCACTATGAGTTATGGAGGTTTTATAATATGATGTGTTGTTTTTGGCTGAAGAAAATTGTTGCTGCTTCTCTATTGCTTCATTTTAAAGCTATGGATTAGAGACAGTATTTTCTATCATGGCCTTTCCTTATAGTCTTTTTCTACCACAATAATGGTGATGATAAGAAATTGACATTCAATTTTTTCAAGATTAAATTCAGTTTCAACTAATTTTACTTCTGTTGCAAGTGGTTAAATGCCCTAGCCACTTCAAAATATGGAAAATTACAAGTGAGGTGTGGTTTTATTTGTAGAAATAAGCAAATGCTAGACCTTTTTTTCTAAGTCTACAACTATGCCTCTGGTGTTTATGTGTATGTGGTATTTTTTCTAGTTATAAAGCTATTCTTTTTTTTCTTTTTTCCTGATAATTAAAGGTTAGTTTTCTCTGGGAATCTAGCTTTGGCTTTCTTATAATGCTACGTTCTCTCTGAATGATCTCATCCATGGCTACATCTTCAATCATTACCTGAACATTCAGTTCAAAAGTGAATTTTGTCTCCCATCCCAAAATTTGTTGCTTTATCATTGATTTTAATTTCTGTTAATGATCTCATTGTCCATGAAAGAAGTAAAAACAGAAACCTTGTTTCTTACTCCCAGACACGCACTTAGTTATTAGTTCTATTGATTGTATATCAGAAATCATTCCATTTTTCTCCAGTCTACCTGACAATGAAAATGTTTCTAGATCAGACATTCTATATCTCTTCTCAACCCTATTGCAATAACTGTCTCACTCTTCTTCCAGCTTCCAGTTTATATCCCTCCAGATCATTTTTCACACTACAAATTTTAAATTGCTGATGTGCCATTTCTTAACCCAAATTGAAAATTTTCCAGTTACTTTATTTGCATCTGTTTCATAAATTTTAACCTAGCCATACATTACTATATGTAAATCCTTGCTACTTTTACATGTTTATATTATATTCTTTATCATAAAAATTCTGAGAATCACTATGCTTTGCAGTGCTTCCATTATTGATCATGTAGAATTAGGAGATTTCCCTATACTCTCAAAGTAGCTTTAAACTATAAAAATTATTATATTATATTGAATTATAAATTTACAATTTGGTGTCTGAGCTCTAAATTTTGAACTCCTTAAGTCAAGGCTAGTGCCTTGTTTATGTGTGTTTTCAGTGGCAACCCTGGTATTTCCTACATAATAAGGATCCCATAAATACTGTAGAATAAATGAATGACTAAATAGTAGTCACTTTTTATAAATAAGAATACTTCTCATGTTATCATTGAAAACTATCAGTTGTGTGTTTTGATTCAGAAAATACAGTAATCATAATGTTTACTTATCATTCCAGCATCATCGTTGTAGCATGAAGTCAGATAAAATGATTAATAAATATATAGTACCAATCAGAACTTTTATCTTTCTAGTACTTAAAATATGAGTTGTAAGTCTAAAAAGAGCTAAAAATTATTTTTTTTTTCTCACTAATACTCCTTTTTTGTGAATCTTTTGCTCCTACTAAGGAAACAAGTGTTGCCAAGAAATTTACAAAACCCTTTAAAAATCAGTTTAATTGTCTTAAGGCCATTTTGACTAGAAGAATTTATCAGTTACTCGACTAGACTAAAACAGACAAAAATGCAGATGTTATGAGACTGCAGAGTTATCTCATGCAGCTCAAAGGCATAAAGTAGAGTTGAGCTTTACCAGTTGGGATTTGGAAAGCTGCCTGGAATCAAAGCAGCACCTTTCTCGGTTTTTCTCTCAGAGATCACATGACTTCTTTATTTTCTCCTTGTATCTGCTTTATTATCTTCACAGTGTAGAACAGGTTTCTCTGCTGCTTGTACAAGATTGAGCTTAGTCATCTGACAGATTCAGAGTCCATGTGTGTTCCTGGCTTATCAACATAACTAGCATCACTATATCAAAACCTTAGGTGAGGAATAGCAGGGAGGAAGAGGTAGAGAAAGGGTGGTCAGTACTAAATTCCAGTTAGGAAAAATAAGTGCTGTGTTCTGTTGCACAATAGGGTATCTATAGAAAATGATAATGTATTAAATACTTTTTTAAAAAAGCAAGAGGAAGGAATTTTGAATGTTCTCACTGCAAAAAAAAAATAGTAAAAGTTTGAGGAGATAGATTTGCTTAGCCTGATTTGAACATTCTACAATGTATCCATGTATCAAAACATCACATGGTATCCTATAAAAATATCCTAGGTGAGAACTCTGGCCCAGCTATAATTGAGGTAAATCTCTGAAAAAGGCATTAATCTGCTATGAATCCCAGGAATGTTCCAGACTTGAGCACAAGCAGTTAATTTTGCCGTGTAGATATTGACTGAAAATATAAAATCACAAAACTGGGAAAACCACATCCTGGAATTAAAGTTTGTGGGGCAGGGAGCAGGCGGTGGATTTGCCCAGAAATGTAAGGATCACATGGATGATCAACTACTAAAGTCTAACTAACAGTTTTACTTTGAGTAGTTTGCCCTCATGGAAAAGAAAGAAATAACTGTTTTACTCTCACTAATTCAGAGAGATGAATCTTTAAAAAAAAAAAAAAGACTGTGGAAAAAGTGAGTAAAAGACCCAACACTGCTAATTGCTTTCACTCTTAAACAGTTATATTGGGACAATCAAGAATTTATTAGGTTATTTCAAGTTGAAAACATGATCTCACTTTTTCCAGCTATGACAGGGCTCCACCCTGATATGATGTGTATCACCACCAGCAAAGAAACCCTATAGTTCTGCTACCTTCACAGTGCTGAAGTTCACTGGATTATTCAGCTGACAATATAAATATGTAAAAACTGAAAGATTGGATGAATTGATTCTAAAAGTACCTAAATAGGAAGTGAAAGCATCCAAAGAAAAATAGGTACTTTATTTGGTTGAAGATTTTTTTATAGTACTGGGGATAGAATCCTAGGCCTCATGCATGCTAAGTAAGCACTCTACACTGAGCTACATCCCCAGCCCTCAACTACCTTATTTGGGAACATTTATAAAGGTTTGCAAAACTACTCAAGATTTGCAAAACTTATCATTCTTCATGAAAGAAAAAATGAGAAAAGCAACTATATGGAGCCTAAAAAAGAATTGTAGCCCATTAAAGGATAAAAATCACAGCCTACAAAAGGAAGGGAATAAACTTATTGTTTTAAAAATGTTTGTATGGAAGGGTCTAAACATACAAAATTACAGAGAGCATCTGGATATCAAGCAAACATGGAATCTGTAAATTAACACATGATAGAAAGGATAAAACAAGACCAGGATGAGAAGAGCTGAGAATCAGGCAGGAATGGAAAAGAAGCATAATAATGTGAAAGGCTTACTGTGGTGCCAGTAAACCTGCCATAAATGGAATGTAAATCTGCAGTAAAGACAATAAAGAGCACAATAGTCACTGTAGGAAAGTAAATTAATTATGTAAAGAACTATCCTGATCAGCATTCCAGAATATAGGGGAAATGGACAAAATAAAAATTATGAGTTGAAAAGTGTATTAGATAAACATAGGACATTCTACGAAATGAATAACATTCTCATAAAACAGATGTGAATTATTCTGTTATTCTCAGAATATAAAAAACACAGAAATAAAAAATATGACTTTAGCCAGGTGTGGTGGCACATTGTAATACCAGTGACTTGGAAGGCTAAGGCAGGAGGATCACAAGTTCAGAGCCAACCTCAGCAACTTAGGCCCTAAGCAACCCAGTGAGATCGTGTCTCTAAATAAAATATTTTAGAAAGGGGTGGGGATATGGCTCAGTGGTTGAGAACTCTGATTTCAATCCCAAGTACCAAAAAAGCAACAACAACAACAACAACAAAAAGGACTTTACCTGGAAGCTCAGGAAACTGAGGCAGGGGGATCACACAGTTAGTTGAAGCCAGCCTCAGCAATTCAGTGAGACCCTAAGTAACTGAGTGAGACCCTGCCTCAAAACATTAAAAAAACAAAATGCTGGGGATGTAGCTCAGTGGTAAAGCATCCCTGGATTCAATTCCTAGTACCAAAACAAAAACAAAACAACATAATGACTTCAGAAAACATTTTGTGTGTGTGTGTGTGCTGAGAATGAACCCACAGCCTTGAACTTATCTGTACACCCAAAGCAGGAAAACTTCCTAAAAGAGAAAAAAACTGAAGCTGTAGATTAAAAACACTCATTGTGTTTCAACAAAATTACCAAAGACCCCAGCACTTAAGCATATCCTGGAGAAATTTTTGGTTTTCAAGAATATTAAATGAATTCCACAAACATGTAGTTCTTTGTATCTTACAGCTTAACACGAAACTTGTCCTATAAAGAAAAAAAATACAAGATTGGAGACAAGATCTTTCTAGGGGAAAAAAATTACTGAAATGCAACAGCACCTCAACATGCTGAATAAGCTATAACAAGCATCTCTTTAAATGAATTCCTGAATTTAAAGAAGTCCCAGTGCAAAAAAGGAAGTGGTAAATGAAAACCCACAGCTATAAGAGGAGCATACTTTGCCGTCAGATTTTCATCCCTTGTTGACCAAAGGACTTTCATTTTAAATGATCTCATAAAGATAAAAAACAAGTTCTTTGGATGATGCAATTTGGGATTTCTTTGACTGCTTTATAAAGCCGGTGTCCTGCAAGGATCATAACTTCAGTGAAATTACATATTAGAAAATACAACCTCTGCAAACACAGGGCAAAAGGGAAGCCTGTATTTCTTAGCTTGGGTTCCTGGAGGCAGGAGAGGAATGTGTACATGTAGATGTGGAATGTCTCTCCTGAGTATTCATAATCATCTGCTTCCCCTCAAGTGGGTTTCAGGTTTTAATCTGTATTAATAGTGTGGTCAAGGAAGCACCAATAAAAATACATCATCAAAACAGTTCTAGGTTAGTAATATATACAGAAGCTAGTACAAAATCCTGTACTGGAATAAATCCTCAGTCAAGCCCTTCAGGTTTTTCCACAGATAAAGCTCCACTAAACTTTAAGTTCACAGTCCAGAAATAAAACAAACACACATATACATTGACTACGTATGATATTCATACACAGTATTAGACTCTTAGAAGAATGTAAGATAGTAGAATTGTCACAGGTGGACAGACTACCATTTAAAATTAATAACATAAAAAGAAAAAATGTTGTATACATCTGTAATAAAGCCTCAAAATATATAAAATAAAACAGACCCACTTAAAAGGAGAAATTACAAAATATAAGATTTACAGATATATAGATGTATATAGAAAGAATTTTTACCCAAGCAATTGGAGAGTATTTACAAAGTTGATTATATAACCAAATATTCAACAAATTGCAAAGAATTGAATACAGGTCACAGTCTCTGACCACAAGGCAATTAACTGCACTCAATAATCAAAAACTAATTAAACTAATAAGCATACAATTGCATATGTGAAGACTTAAAAATTCAAATAATTTGAGTCAAATGTTAACTCAATAGAAATTTAAATCCAAAACTATGGAGTATAGAGATGAATTTTTAAATGTATAACTTCATAAAAGAGAGACTTTCATGATGTAAGAATTCAGGTAAACAAGTTAGGAAAAGCACAGGATGGTTAATCAAAGGAAGAAAAACTGATAAAAAGACCTGATAAAAGACTGAGCAAAGATCAGTGGAATAGCAAACAAAGGTACATAAGAGCCAAAGGTTAATTCATGGAAAGTGCTTTTAAAAGAACTGATTAGAACCATGCCTGTTTAAAAAATTGAGTCAGTTAAAGTTTTATTTAAAACATAACAAAATTAGGATCAGACAGTGCTATAGTAAAGTCCTAAGAAATAATAAGGGAACAAAAAATTCAGTATTGTGCATTCTTCCAGAGAATTGAAAAAGAGGTATTCTCTAATTCATTTATTGAGTCTGGTAAAGTATTACAAGCACAGTACAGGTAAAGCAACTTAGTTTAAAAAATTTTCTCTGAAGTGAGAAATAGGAAAAAGAGGCCTACTGTCATTGTTTCTACATCATTTAACTGTTAGTCAGATCCTGCACAGTAAGACAAGAAAAAGATGGAGAGAGCAGAATTGTCATTATCATAGATACTGTGTGATTGTCTACACAGAAAATTCAGGAGAAACTTCCAGTGTGATTTTAGCACTGATAAGAGTCTTGACAAGACTGCCAGGTAAAAGATCAGTGTGTAAACACATTTGTGTTCTCTACGTCAGCAACAAACAGAAAAGGTAATTAAAAAAAAAAGAAAGAAAGAAATTTCCCTTTTACGATAGCAACCAAAACCCTAAAGAACCTAGGAATAAATTAATAAAAAAGTAACAAGTCCTTTACAGAAAAAATTATATATTTTTTCCTGAGATATTTATTTAGTGTTACAAGATTTGTCATTATACCCATTAGATTAGCAAATATTGAAAAGTCTGACATTAACATGTTTTGTTGAGGATATGAAACCTTAAAGATGTGGGAATATAAATTAACCTAACAATTTATTGAGCCATTTGTTACTATGTTGATAATGAGCATTCCCTATCCTCTAGAGGTACAATCCTACTTCTACACTGTTGGGCAACAAAAAAGAATATTTGAATTCAGAACTGTCTGGAAAATCTTCAGCATATAATTGTGGTAGATATATTTCCATGAGAAAAATTTCAGTAAACAAGGAATGAAACTGCATTTCAAAGATTGCCTGGGTCATTAGTTTTATGGCTAAGTATAAACTTTCATGACAAAATCCTACAGGAAGTTCCTTATATATCTTAGATGGCCTAAATGGATGCATCCCCAGGAAGAGAGCAGGTTGGGAGAGAAAGCACATACATATGCTAAGTTGTGAATGACTACACTGCAGATTTAGTGTATTCATCTGTTATTATAAATGTTAACCAAATAAGTTAATATAGTTTTCTAGGATTTATTTATAATCAGATATATTTAATGTGTATTCAAATATATGTCTCATAAAGGTTTTATATTTTTCCATATAAAAACTATAAACAAAGGGCTTCCATGGCTTAGGCTTAGTGAGTCAGTCGGTTATATTGTTCACTTGTAACCAAGGCTTGATAAAGAATCAGCTAATAGGAAAGCAAAAGAGTGAAATAGACATTAGCATAGGAAATACAATTTTTATTTCTTACTAAATTTCCAAATACTCAACTTTTATTTCTTACTAAATTTCCAAATGCTTTACTTTAATCTTTATAGAAAGACTGATATCTTAGAAATCAAAAGTAGGCATGGTGCTATCCAATACACTGCACAAATATAATTACAGCATTAAAATTGCTTTTATACCCACTATGGTTTTTAAGATTTAGTGAATTTGCTTTGAATGATCATGGTTGAATATGGTGAAACAAACAAAGCACCCCTCAGCAAAGTGAATACAATTATCCTTCAGATTTAATGGACATAATGTTATAATTTGTTAACAAGTTTCCAGAGTAGTGTTTTTGTTGGTTAATATACATCTCTCCAAAGAATTTCTTGTAATCCTTATATAAAACATTTTTGATATCTGTGCTCAAGTATTTTTATATTTTATTTCTTCGTGTAATATACCAGCAAACATATGGATGGGTAATGTATTGTGAGTATGTTATTTTATATGTTATTTATTTAATCTTAAATTTATTTATATTCTTTTTGATCAAGCACGCAAATCATCAGATGCATCTGGTAGGAAACCACTTTTTTACAGAATAATCCTATTACTTTGATTTGATAAGTTCCATTTTTATGAAGTACTTTGCGGCCATCAGAATATTTTATATTTAGTTTTTTTATGAGTTCTGTTTGTCAAATGATTTATAGTACACTGTGTACATGTGGGGAGGAGACAGTATTCTCAGAAATATACCAAGTAGAGAACTCTAAAGAGTTTAATATTTGAAGGATGGGTGGCAGAGGACACACTAATATATTCTATTAGATTACACTTTCCAGAGGGTTTGGAAGAGATTGTCCTCTTCTGTTATTTGTTAATAGAATTTGGTATTTTCATAGGTAACTTACTTGAGTTTCCATCCTGTTTTTGCTTTCTGGCATATACTAAATAACTCTTAAATAGAATAGTGCTTTTAATAAGATGAAGCAGGGAGATGATGATTTAATTGCAAAGAGAATAGGGGACACATGTATTATAATCTGTTTAGTAATAAATTTTTAAACACTTACTATAAAAAAAGATACCAGTAAAAACACACAGTAATAGTTTATAGTACTTGCTCTTTTCCTAATAGGAAGTTTTAGAGGAATGGTCCTTTCCCTTACTCCCTGCATTAGCAATAAAAGTTTAAAATATTTAGACCCTAGGCTGGTGTAGCTCATTGGAAGAGGGCTTTCAAGTGTGAGGCCCTGGGTTCAATGCCCAGCACTACAAAAATAAAATATTTAGGCAGAGCTGTTCCCCCATCATTCCTACGTTACTCCATCTGGCTCCTCTTTCCCTTAGCAAGTGTTCATACCTTCTATATCCCAGAAGAAATGAGTCTAGTAACTGTGAACAAACAGGTTACTCCCCTTCCTTCCCACACACTGAAAACCATCACCATGACACACAAGTATGTCCATGATTGGGCACCTGCTGGCACTTCACCTCCCACTGCTGTTGTGCACTCATAACCTATGCCCCATCTGTCACAAGTCAGTTGCCATTTCCTAGTTAAGCCATGCTCTCCTCCATGTGTTTTACACAGATCACCTCATTTAGAATGTCTTCTTTTGTAACTTTATATGCCAGAGGGACCCTTTATTTTTCAAGTTTGCATGTGAATGTTATATACTCTGTTATGCTTATGTTACTATGGAAGAATTTCTTCTTGCAAACAGTCTTGTAATTGCCTTCCATTTTAGTAGTTGCCACATTGCTTTATTATGTCTCCCCACTTTAGTTTCTCATCTCCTTAATGGAAGTTATATTTATTCTTTGGAGTATTCAGAGTCTCCATCAATATCAGACAGTACTAACAGATGCTCGATAAACCAGCACGAAACATGTGGAATACCTTGAAAGATGTGTCTTTCAAAAGGGTATAACAAATTTCTTTCCTGTAGTAGAGTTTGACTGATTAACAGAAGTCCAGAGATGGTTTTACAATAGTTACAGGATATGTATTTTAATATTTGCTTCTTCATATTGTTAGCTCTATTGCAATGAGGAGTTAAATTTGTTTTCAAGGAAAATTGGTATGATATTGACTCTGATACAAAACAATAGTTGTTAGTTTTATTTACCATTTAATTTTTAAATGTCCTACTTGAAAACATGCAATTAACTGAGTTTCTACCTTAACATTTTATTTATGCAAATATTATTTTGGGAAAATGTGTATCACTGACTTAATGCTAATATGTCATTTTTATGAGTGTAATTTAATCATTGTTTAATTTATTTTCTGGACACAGCTTCCTCCTCTTCAGAAATATCTGGTAGGCAACTACTTTTTAATAAAACAAATGTTACCTTTAAAACTTTTAATTTGGTTGTTTGCAAGTTTTTATTCTCTTCTTTTAGTATTTTTATTTAGCATATTGTTAATAAAGTACTTTGGTTGGTGAAGGAAATGCTTTGTTTAATGTTGGATTTTATATATTTATGCAGATATTGTAGTTTTTTTATGTGATGATGTTTTATAAATGATAAGTACAGTACCATGAAGCAGAGGAAGTTGTACCAAGTAGCAGAAGGTAGATTATTACACACCACTTACCTAGTGAGATTATCCAAACTAATGAATGTTTTCTTTTTTTTAAAAAAAAAAAAAGTCCATATACTATTATAAATTTTGAGTGAAATAGCTGACATTTTATTTGGGGTTTGCTTTAAGAAGTTTTTATTATATTTTTTTTTCTATTTTCAGTTTGTTTCCTTTCTATTTTTCTGACATATGTTGAATAAAAGTTGAATAGTGTTGTGCTTTTACTATAAAAAGGCCATAAAGAGGGAAGTAAAATTTATCACATTACTAAGAGACCAGAGTCTTCAACATCTAGAGTAGTTGTCATCTGCATAGTAATACACTTATAAATTCTTCATATATAAAAGATAACCTCTTTTAAAAGTTAAATAATGGCACACTATAACTCACTACATATTCTTGTTTTGATAAGAAGTTATCTAGCATATTTCACACAATGTTGCAAAATGCTAATAAATTTGCTGAGTGTTATTAAACATTCATTGTAGAATTATCTGAATAAAAGATAAAGTTGTACCACACTTGAATTTTTAGTCAATTTTCTTAATGTTTAAAATGAACTTTGTAAGCCAGGCTCAATGACAACTGTAATCCCAAGGCCTCAGGAGCCTGAGGCAGGAGGATTTCAAATTCAGTCAATTTACAATCTCAGCAACTTAGTGAGACCCTATCTCAAAATAGAAATAAAAAGGACTGGGGATGAAGCTTAGTTGTAAAGCACCCCTGGGTCCAATCCCCAGTTTAAAAAAAATAGAATGAATTTTGTAATCTGATTTTTAACTATGACCTGTGTGTAAACATACAAAAATATTGCGAAAAGCAAGGAGAGTAAGAATTAAGTTGTGGATTTTGGACTTGTGGAAATGCATATAAATAGTTGTTTCTTCTTCCTTCACCTCATGAATATGGGTGAATATTCTTACAAGCACAGGAACATTCACCTGGGTGAACATATAGGTTCCTTTGCAAGCTTATCACTTTCAGAATGCAATGATGCAAACTGAAGAGAAAATTAATTTATTTGGAAAACAATTATAATTGTAAATGCAAAATAATGAATTGAGTTAATTTTTGGTGTGTTCGTACTTTTGTAATACCTAGTTTTCCCCATTATTAACCAATACAGAATAAAATATGTTTTCAGAAAAATCTTTGAGGTACTTTTTCCTAAGGAGAAGTATTAATTACTGTAAGATGCTTTTGTTGGTAGGTACCCATGAACACACATAAATATTAGAACCAATATTCTATCTATGTCTCCAAAAACTGTGGCTGTTTCAGGCTATCACAGTGGTTTAAGTGATTAACTATAGATAAGGCTTATATATTAGAACATAAGCAAACTAAAAAATTGAGAACCTCAAAACATATGCTTTTAAAGGAACTCTGGATTAATTGTGATATAGTACAGTGTTTGAGTCTAGCTGTCGCTCTCACCTCTTGTTTTATTAACTGATAACATCTTGTATCCTTGGATTGAAATTTTAAAAATAACCAAAGAAAATCATTTAGAAATTAAATCCACCAATGTCTAAAAATAATAAAATTTACAGTAAATCATGTGGTTCTTGATGTGCTTTTGTTTTAGGATTATTCATAATTCAGTGTATTGTGAAAAATATTACTTTTTATGTTTGTTTTCTTCTGTTTATTAGGTGTATGTTTTTATCTTTATTTTTACAAAGAGTTGATTATATTTATCTTTGCTTCTAAATAGAGTATATATATTAGAGATTTCATATTTGTATATATATTTATAAGACAAAAACATTTCTCAGGAACACTTTTTTTAATGGAATTATTTAATGACTTAATTAATGGCCATCCTTACTCTAAAAAAGGAATTGCCTTATATGTTGAATAAATTCACAAAATTTAATATCTTTGATTAATACACATTTTAAGTAATTTTCTACATGAAACCTTTATGAGATCTATTGTTTTCTTTCTACAGTGCTACTTGACAGTAAAAGTCAGAATATTGATGAGTACCAAGAGTATTCCAAAGAATTTCCCAAATATCATCTTAGTAAATAAAATTAAGAAACCCCAGAAATTTTTCTTATAGCTCATCACCAGACTTGGAAAGGAAAATTTTGTTTTTTCCTACTTACTATCTTTGGTAAAGACTGCCATTCCTTTCTTTGATCAGTTATTTTTTCTTAACTCTAAATCCACTTTGCATAAAATGACAGGAGAAGCTGAAATAAGATGTTAGACATTTTTCTTTGATTCTCTTCCTTGTCTTCAAATTCTCATGCAGGCATCTGGAGAATTTATATTTCAACTTGTTGTGCAAGTTCTATATATAAAACTAAAAATATTTTTCAAAAGAAATTTGAGGTATATTTTTTGAGGTTCACAAGTTGTGATTTCTTAAAAGACCATTACATTTTGTAATTAATTATGTTTTGATTTATTTTATAGCTGCCATTTCCAAATCAAGGCCATGTGCAGATATGTCTGTTCCAGGCAAAAACAAACAAACAAACAAAAAAAAACTCACAAAACCCAAACATACAAACAACCATAAACCCAACTTACTTATAAAACCACTCTTCTTCAATTGTAAATAGTACATTAGCTTTTAGATTTAAGATAACTTGAATCACCCTTTATGTAAGAATTTTCCACCCTGGGAGGAATTAGATCATATTTGGTTAATTATATGCAACTATTTGATTCATTATTTTGGTGCATGAGATTTTTTATACAATGAAAAGATTCTAATTTTAAAAATTAATTTTCTTAAAATAGTTTTGAAAATATTTTATATCAATGCTAGTTTATAGAAAGTAGTAAAATAATGTCTTCAGAAATGCATACCTAGTGTTACTTAAAAACTAATGTCTGCTTCTGATGCCTGTCAACATCATTTAAATTGCAAAATATTTTAGAATGCCAACAGCTTTTTTGGTTAGTTACAGTGATACAGTAAGATCTTTTCCAAAGATATTACATTGAGGATAAAGAAGGCAATAACAATGTGCATCTCAGAATGGCTCAATTTAAAACCGTTTCATAATTAGGGATCTTAAAGAATTTGTGAGTCTTCACTTCCTCTTTTAATGCTGTCTTCACCATCGTGATCATCAATCAGTATTTCTGAAATAAATGCCAATGTGCCCATCCAATTTTACTTTGTCTTCAACTTTTTACTATTTCAACACTACTTAAATCCTGTTTTTATCATTTTCTTCTTTATAGATTGAGATAGAGAAATATTGGGAAATTTCTGAACAACAAATTAAAATAATTATTTCTTGTATAATCAGGTTTTATTCTCATTCCTAACTACAAGAACATGAACACATCTTGACGATGACATTTTATCTATGGGAAGACAGATAAGCAGAGAATACTTTTAAATGATTGGTCATTTAATTAACAAATTTAAAACTTTAAACCACAGCTCTATAAAATATGTGGTTATTATTGATCAATATATAAGCATCTGGTTTTGAATTGCTTTAGTGCAAGTTTTAAAGTAGGCATTCAAATATTTAGAATGAGATTTTAAAGTGGTTTAGATTTTTTTGTTTATGTTTTGTTCTGTTTTGTTTTCAAGCCACTGTGGATATCCTTTACATGTTGTTAGTCTCTGGTTTCTCCTTTTCTCTCCTTTAGTAGTGAGAATGCAAATCTAATAACACAAATTCTCATAACCTGAAAACAGTCCTTTTTTTAAAACCAATTATTCTTGTTACTCCACAGATCAAAAGATTGATGTTCTTCAGATATTTTCAGTTCATGTGTCTTAAGTCTCTATTACTATCACTGCTGGCATATTTATTTAAGCCAGTATTTTTTCCTAGATTGATTTCTAATTTTTACATTACTTTCAGATATGTTTTTAGAAGCATTATTGTTGTTATTAGATTTGAAATTATCAAAGCAATCTCCATATAGAAAAATATTGGAGATTCTTAGAAATCTGAGAAAGTGTTTGCTTCTTGTTTAGAGACACTAACTACTTCTCTAGTGTACCACAATGGTGAATGCACATTTTCTGCTTTTTAAAGGAAGAATATTTATATGTAATTTAAATATATATAATATAAATATTCTTATGTAATGTAAATATTCCTACAAGACAAAAATCTTTTTTTCATATATGTTTTCAGTGAAGGAATTTCTAGCCAAAGCCAAAGAAGACTTTCTGAAAAAATGGGAGAATCCACCCCCGGTAAGAAATATTTAAATTTTTCTACAATTAAAATTTTTGTGTTAAGTAAAATCATGATTCTTGCCTAAGTAATTACCACTCCAGATATTCTAAGTTTCAAGTGGTATTAGTAAGCATAAATTTAAAATGGGAATTATACCACAATGTTATGTTTTAATTAATTAATTAATAACTTTATATACATCTAAATTGAAGAAGGAATAATTTCTCATATAATACTCAAAATAGGTTTTGACACTAGCACGTTTTGGTGTTTTCTAATCTCATATTAATGTTGAATGATGTCCTTGTTGGCACACACCAAAGGTGGACTTTGTGATTATAAAATGGTAAACACTATATAACATGAAACATGAAGGGAGGTGAGGAAGATGGCATATATTTCATCATATAAAGAAAAGCTATGACTAGTGTAAACAGATGTTCTGTTGTGTATTAATGGACTTTGTTTCCATTATTTAATTGGGATTATATTAAACATTTCAGTCCATTTTATCAGTAAAATAAAAAATTAACTACTAACCCATGAAATTAATTCAGTTGAAATTTTAAGGACTATTTTCTGCATTGATAAAGAATCTCATTAAGTATGAAATTAAAATGATAAAAAAGCAAATTTCTTAAGTAAAACATGGTTGATTTCCTGCTCTGTAATAATTCAACATGATGTTGCTTAACAAGCTGAGTTTTGTTTGTAATAAATTCAACAACACTGAACTCTAGTTGCTATCCAGATTCATCACATATACAAGAATAATGTTGCACCATATTTTTCTCAAGCTAAAAGCTCTACAGACTAAGCCTTGGAAATATTTTCCATGATTTTCATGGATATCTTTGTGATTAAAATTATTAAACAATTGGGTCTGCAATTACTACTTGTTGCTATTTAGCACATAATTTGTTCCTAGTAATTTTCATTTTGTTGTGGCAGCAACAAATTCAATAGATTGATGCCTCTAATTCTTTGCTTCTATGCTGTAGTCAAAGCCAAACAAAGATGTTTGCTTGTAACAAAACATCTATTCAAGGAGAAAAAGAGTCTGATTATTGTTCTGAGACTCTAGCTTTTGGTTCTTTGTGGAATGAGGAACTCTTCTTTCCTTATTGTTACTGTTTTAGGTAATACTGGGTTATTATAACATCAGAGAGAGAGAGAGAGCGCGAGAGCGCCTAGTGGCTTTTTCTCATGCTGTTCTTTAGCTCCGTAAGCTTGAATAAAGATCCAAATGAAGTTTGATAGTGTTTCTTCATAGGTAAATCTAATGAAAAGACTGATCTCTCAGGTTATCCATTTTATTACAATATTTACTAGTGCACTAAGATTATATGGCTTACATGACTCCTCTTTGGTATACTTCTGATCAGTTTGTAATTATTAAAATACAGAGATGACTTATTAGAAATCTAGTACTAGAAATTATATTAGAAAATGACCATTACTGATTCAGCTGCTCTATGTTGCAATATAATTCTCTCCTCTGTTATTGGATCCTTTCTTATTCAATAGAGAAAGTAGTACCAATAACTTGAAACCTGAATAGTATTTTTGTATTTTTTTCTACATGAATAGTTGTAACCCATATTATCATTCTGGTTATGTACTACAGTGATTGTAATTATCATAGTTGTATGAAAATTTTAAGTTTTAAATTTGTTTTATTTTTCATGCATTTGTAGAATAATGCTGGACTCGAGGATTTTGAAAGGAAAAAAACCCTTGGAACAGGTTCATTTGGAAGAGTCATGCTGGTGAAACATAAAGCCACTGAACAGTATTATGCCATGAAGATCTTAGATAAGCAGAAGGTTAGTGCTTCTTATTATTTACCTACAGGTTAACCTTCAGTTTTATTAGCATTAGCATTAACATTAGTTGACATCTTAAGATAATTTTATTGTTTCATTCAATTTTTATTCTTAAATTGTGACTATATGATTCAGTTAAAAATTTTAGCATATGAGGATACATTATTATTTCAGTAGTTATACATAATACATATATGTTTAACAATAAAATATATAATGTCAACATGTAAAAACAGAATTTCTACTAGATATTGGCTTATGGAAAAATACAGGAAACAATTACCTAATCCTTAAATTGGCATAACAGAAATTTAGAAATTTAGTTTTTTGATATTTTAATTTATGGTAGAAGCTCTCTTATTTAACATGATTGTATTTGGTAAATTTAAAATGTCAGTCATAGCAGTCAAATTTTAAGATCTACTTACTATAAAAAACAACTTTTAATTATTTATCACCATTTGGTATAGCTAACAAATGAAGATATCTGAAGTATTTATGCTTTAAATATTAAGCTTCCATTTTCCTAATAATTAACAGTTAAGGGAAGGAAAAAGAATAATACGAAATTGTGATATATTACCTTAGAGTTATATTTCCAAGAATGACTTTTTGGCTTATTGGTATATTGGAAGGAAAGGGAAGAAGCAGTAATAGACTAGAAATTCACAGCAGCTCAACTGATGCTATCGAATAGATATGTAATGTGAGCCATGCATATCTTGTAAAATTTTCCAATAACCACATTTAAAAAGTTGAAATTAATTTTAATAATACATTTTATTTAATAGCTCAAATGACTTCTAACATAAGAGGTAACGACTAAAGTCGCTCTAAAATTTATATATATCCATATACACATTTAATTGTACATATTTGTTTACTGCCTTCATTTACATATCTTTTCTAACCATGCTTCTTGAAAAAAATAGTTTAATCACTTTATCCACTAACTCACTTCTTATTATTCTTCAGTGTACACACAACAGCTTACTTGCCTCCTCATTCACGTCCTGCATCTTGCTACTCTACTAAAATAGCCCTGCCAAGTGTCACCGATCCAGTGACTGAGTCAAGTCCAGTGGACTTTTTGCTCATCTTATTTGACATTTTTAGAACATGTGACTGTGCTGAACACTCCCTTGAAACTCTCTTGTTCTGATTTCTAGAATGTCATGCTCTCCCGATCATGCCTTCACCTCTCTGGGTTCTTCCTTTTTTGTCACTTTTCCTGTTCCTGTTTTTTGTTTGTTTCTTTTCCTCTGTCTTAGCTAGGTGCAATGGCTCACGCCTGAAATCCCAGTGACTCAGGAGGCTGTGACAGGAGTATCACAAGTTCAAGACCAGCATAAGCAACTTAATGAGAACCCTGTATCAAAATGAAAAGGGTGGGGTGTAGGTCACTGGTAAATTACTGCTGGTTTCAATCCAAAAAAAAAATCATTTTTCTCTCTATTCTTTTCTTTAAAGGTTGCTAATAAATCCCTAAGTTCTGGACTATTCCCCTTGCCTTCTGCTTATTTTCTACTCTTTTCCTATCTATTCTCCAACAGGCTCAACTCTTATGTTCTCTGATCTTGCTTAGTACAGTCTGAGCCTGGATCTCCCAGAGATCTTTTAGCTCCTGCCCTCCTTTTCTAGATGAGGTTATTGGGTCTCAAAGAGGGTGAGTGACTTGTATACTTTTGTTGGTAGCACAACAAGAAGATGCTTTAGATTTATCTTTCTTTATTAAATACATCAGCAAAATGCTATTATCTGGGTAGCCTCTTGTATATTATTATAATTCTTAAGGAATTTATAAAATGTGCTTTACTAACAAAATATTAAGAGGATAACAAACTATATCATCTATGCTTTTAAGTATTTAGAGAAAACATTTTTAATTCCTCCTTTTGCTAAGGCAGCAACTTATTGGATAAATTACTGAGCCAGTTACCTTATGGATAAATTATGGCCAAGTATTTCCTAGAAGAATAATTGCTATTTTATATCATTTCTATTATTTCCATGTTCTAAGTCCATGCATAATTAGGACAAAAGCCTTTATATTCTGAAATTTGTCCAGTTTATTTAATTTACTAAAGCTGAGTGTTAAAATGACACTCCATGATTAACCCCTTCTTTTGTAAATGAAATCACACAAATATTCCAATTAAACCAGTCTGGCTTCTCTATCTTAGAGTATATGGGAGTGAACGGAAAAAATAAAAAAATCAGGCAGGAATTAAGGAAATCTCATTTCTTCACTCCATGCTATGTGTCAAGCATTGCTAACCACTTTTTGAATGTATTGTATCAATGAAGACACATAGCTTTGTGTGGCATTAATCTCCCTTTTATGCCAATAACCTCGCTACTTAACGAAATAATCTTTTCAAACAGGTAGTAAATTGAAGCAAGAATCTGTTCTACATTTTTCTGATTTCTATACCTTTTTCTCCTTGTTACTTTTTCCTTTAAAATGTATTTGTTATCTCTGAGATCCTTTTTACCAACACCTAGTCTGATCCCTAATTAACTTCAACTGGTATTTTATAATAATATCATAATTTCCACAACCCCAGACTTTTCACCTTTAATTCATCCTCCTCACTGTCAACAAAGTTTTCTTAAACCATATCATATTATTTCCCTCATCCATCAAAAAGTTTCATGATGTTCATTAAAAGAAGTCCAAACTCAGGCTACCTAGCAAGGGGCTACTTTCAAACCCTTAGTAGTCTCTTGTTCTATTCTCTACTCGAACTCTATGCTCTACTTCCCTGACTTGAAACTTGACCTTGTAATGCTGTTCTGGGTGGGGCAGGGGGTGATAGCCTATCTTCCTTATTAATAATTCCTCAAGCACTTGGCTTAAAAAAATCAGCTGGTGACAATCATTTTTTAAATTTATGTTAAATATATAAACTAACAGAAATGTTAAGAAGTAAACATAAACTTTATATTAATTTTGAACATAAAACTACATCTCCAAGGACACTTGTTAATTTTCCTTTGCCATTTAAGAACATTTTGCTGTGAAATTTTGAGAAACACTGTCCTAAGCTATAGCCAAATGGAACTACCATTCAAGACTTACTGTTGTATGTTTTCCCCGCTCAGGTATTGGTTCTGGATACTAACCCTGACTGAACTTTCTTCTGTCTTGCCCTTATCTTTATTATCCATCCATCTTAAAAGACTCAGCTCAACCCCTGCCTTTTAAAATAGATTATAATAAGAAGTGACACGTATTGAGCTTTTACTGTGTGCCAGGTACTATATTAATAACTTGAGATGCATTATGCCACATAGCCACTCTTAAAGTAGGTCTTATTATAGCATTTAATAGGTGAAGAATCTAGGACTCAGAAAGATTATGTACTTGGCCTTAAATAAATGTTTTCTCTTTTGACAACTTATTATAACTCTAATTTGGCAATTATTCATATATTGCTATTAACATATTCATACATCATAGTTTCAAGTGAGTTTTATGCAGTAAGAATGCGATTTCTCCTGCCCCTATCTCTGTAACATCCATTATACTTTATATGTAGTAGATACATACATTTAAAAGTAAAATAAATTAATTATAAATGGTGAATTTTTAAGTAGTTAATTTTCAAACTAGCTAAACATATATACTTTGGCAGTTTATATGCCTGGAATTCATTTGTATTTTAATTGTATTATGTCCCACATATACATAGTTGGCTTAGGGCTCTAATACAGAAAGCCTCTTTTGTACTTTTCATTATTTATTTCACAAGCCCACACATTGTTCATGGCCTAATTTAAAACCTGCTATATCATAAAAACAAAAGTAAACACAAAGCAACAGTCATTCTCCAGCTGGTGTTATATAATTTATTGTGATATTTATGGACTAATTGGTTCTATAACTTGTTAAAATGTAGACAGTAGTGACCCAACCACTTCATGTCACAGATTTTAAAAATTGAGGTTCAAAGACTTGAAATAACATCTCCAATTTATAAAGTGGACTGAATAAAAGGCCTAGGTTAGAACACAGATCTTCTGGCAATCATTCTTTGCTCAGTATTATTTGTGTACTCCTAATTTTACATAGTGTACCAATAACCGGCTGATATCTTTAAGTACCTTTCTTATTCATGTTCAATTGGGTGATTTCTATGAGTATCCCCATATTAATATAAGCCTCTAGCAAGAAAGAATGCCACTTTCTAATGATTTACACAAATATAAGACACTTATTTATGCTTTCCTAAGGTCACCTTTTCCTAAATTCCAAGTAGAATAGAACACAGTCTTCATGAAGTCAGGATAAATTGCTTTCCCTTTCTATTGAGTAGACAATCCAGAGAAAGCTTGATTAATCCTAAGTGACCTCTTTTTCATGAAGACATAGTATTTTCTTGCTAATATTTTCTGTGTCCTCTTCTGTGATTGTGTAAATTGAATTTTTAGAATTTGTACCTGTATTTATTCAGGTATTATAAAATGAACAGATTATTTTTACCTAATATTTTTAAATGTTTCCTTAGTCTTTAATTTTCTTACTGATCTTCTGAAGTATTTAAAATCAGTATCTACTTACTGAAGTGATATGGTGATTTAACTGTAAGTCATTTGGAACCAAGACTTTTTCCAAATTAATTTTTAGTATTTTTTATGGGTCTGTCCTTATTCCCACTTAGTCCTTACTTTTTAATTTCATAGTTTGTTTGTTTATTTATTTATTTATTTGGTACCAGGGATTGAACTCAGGGGCACTTGCCCACTGAGCCACATTCCAAGCCTTATTTGGTATTTTATTTAGAGACAGGGTCTCACTGAATTGCTTAAGGGTCTCACTTTTGCTGAGGCTGGCTTTGAAATTGTGATACTTCTGCCTCAGTCTCCCAAGGTACTGGGATTACAAGGGTGCGCCACCATGCCCAGTCCATAGTCTACCTTCTTAAGACCAAGATTGAAATCCTCTATTAGGTTCTTTTCGTTTGAATCTCATGAGCCCAGTTTGTAATTATTATTGCTTCTTATTAAAGTCCAGCAATTTTGCTTATTCAAGTTTTTTATTGTATGGAAAACACTTTTTTTTTCTTTTAAAATGATAGTATCTTTTAAATTTTGTTTAAGTATACTAAAGTATATTTATTTCTCAATTGCAGGTTGTTAAACTGAAGCAAATCGAGCATACTTTGAATGAGAAAAGAATATTACAGGCAGTGAATTTTCCTTTTCTTGTTCGACTGGAGTATTCTTTCAAGGTAAATTTTAATAACATCTAAATAAGATATTTTCAACCTCATGTATTTTTAAAAATGTAAAGCTATGATAGAATTCTAAACCAGATGATACAACTAGAGAACATGAGTAAACAAAGGAAATATTTTTAGATTTTGTGTAATACAATCCTATTGTGCTTATAAACTTGGGTAATGAAAAAGTTTTAGCTCTCTCAGGGCAACTTTTCAAAGTGACATACATAATTTTTCATTGGAAGGCATTGCAAAATTTAAAATTTTAGTGATCTAGAAACAGTATGCCTCCTGCAAATGAATCCACTTCTCAAACACTTTAGACCATCATCTCACCATTATTTCTTACTTAATAATTTGTATTCTACTCTTTTCACTTGCATAAACCAACACAGTTTTCCTCCCCTGTTCAAGTGTCTGATAAAGTACAAAGGGTTTATTCTTTAAATTGGCAGTTTTCCAGCTCTTTGGAATGATACTTGGCGTTTCTCTACTCTATTGAATCTATTAAACATTGCAACTTTTTTACCCCTTTGTTCTTTAAATAAAACGAAAACCTATGTATTCATGATATTAAAATCATTAATCTCTCAGACATAATATATAAATATTATTCACTTTTTAAAATTGTTTTTTAACTTTGTTATTCCTTTGTCTATGCTGTAGCATTATTATTATTGCCTCCGTGTTAAATGTTGTCTGCAAGAACAGGAAGAGCAAAAAGTTCCAGACTAATTTGTGGCAAGAATGCCAGGAGGAAAAAAGGGAAAAACAAGATGAGTGCCTCAGTATAGGAAAGATACAGGAGTTCCATTTATTCTCATTTTTCTCAGTTTTATTAACCTGTCAGATGATTTTCTTTTTCTAATTGAAAATGATATAATCTTAAAATACTTTTACCTATATTTTCCATTTTAATTTATTTCTTTTTATTTGTTGATAGGATAATTCTAATTTATACATGGTTATGGAATATGTCCCTGGGGGTGAAATGTTTTCACATCTAAGAAGAATTGGAAGGTTCAGGTAACTAATGCCTTTTCCTTCCTTGCATCTTTATCATGCTTGTGTTTATTTTAAATAGATTCTTAAGTTAATACCAATGTCAAGAATTTATTTAATTTAATTAAACAATGGTTTAGCTATATGAAGCATTAGGTGAAAATTCTAACAAGAAACATACCAAACATGATTTTTAAAATTCAAATAAAAGCAATATGAAACCAATTTAATATTCTGTTGGTAGATATTGTGAGATTATTTGAAGAGTTTCCAGAAAATACAAAAGTTAAATTTTAAAATACCAATATTTATCGAACAAATATTTGAGATTATGTAATGACATAGTACATAACATATTGTAATAATAATTAATATTTAATGATGACCATATTTGAAACAGGTTTGCATAAGGATGATGATGAGAAAAGACTAAAGAAATGATAATAGTGATATCATGATAAGATTATAAAAGTGCTGTTCACAAATTTAATTCTTAAAGTTTTTGCTATGTTGAATTTTTGAAATATATACATAGTTTAAGAGAAATTTATAGTTTCTTATGAGGTTATTACTAATATGATCTCAGTTGTGAAAATTGGTTTTAGATACTGATAATTTTATCCGTGTATAATAGCTCATAAGCTACTAGTGATAATTAGCAATCTAAAATAAAATGAGGCTAAAACTGAGAGCAGGTCCAGCTTCTCTCAGGATATAAGAATTAAGTTAAACATTAGTATGAGCTCAAACAGGGCTGATGATGGTAATTTGATTCATAAAGAGATAATGATAGACTTGGACTATCATGAGATGATATCAGATAATAGGCAAGCATTAGTTATTTGCATTAACTGGGGACTAAGTCATATTTTTATTTATTGACCAGTAATATGTAAGTCACATAATGTGTCAGGGACTTTCACTTCCTTTTCACGTCCCTGCCAACCTCTTGTCCAAGCAGGCTTAGAATTGTCACGTTGCCCTATAATTATTCAATGTTTTCACTGAAGTTCCACACCTAAACCTGTTTTCTGCCCATTTTCTATAACTGCTCATTTCTTTGCTCTGTAACTCCTCACACTCAGCTTTTAATATTTGACTTGGTACTACAAGGAAAGCAAGTTGACTGAAATAATTCACTCAGAGATACTATCTTTTCTGAGCTTTCACACATAAGACACATACACTCTAAATAATTCTTATTCTCACCTTAGGAACTTTGAGGCAACAAGAATTTGAGATATGGTTTAGCGTGTCTTTGATCAGAAGCAGTTAAGTCAACTGATTCTCTACTTAAACAGAGGATGTCAAGACTTAAAAGTTGCCACAGCTTTAAACCTTCCTGATATCTTCCTGCAATTCCTTAAATATTTAGTAGAAATATCCAATAACAAATGGCATTTAGAATTTTTTTGCTATCACTTTTGAACAATTCAATTGTTGTCTGTATTCCTTTAGGCAAGCATTAGTGTGTAGTGATAAATAATTACGTGAAATATAGTGTATATTTACAAATACACAGAGAAAATATAAGGGAGACCTCTCAGGTCACATGTTTCCAAGTTTAAGGATACTTGTTGCAATAACTGGGAATGAGTCCTCCAATTTCTTCTTATGATTTTCCCTTCATCCTTCATCCTTTATCATAGGATATAGATTGTTACAATGTTGGGATAGGGCTGAAACTGAAAGAGTATTATGAAATGTTATCCCAAAACTGTTCTTCTTTTCATATTCATTCATTTAACAAAGATTTAAGGGCCATCTGATGTAAATCAGGCTGAATTGGGAATTTCAGTAACAAGCATTTCTGATGCTACCAGATCAAATTCATGCCATCCATCTTTTGGGAAATCCTACTAATAGTTTAAACTGTTTATTAAAGATATATAAAAAAAGAAAGTCATTGGAACGACTTTGGAATTTATCAGGTAATTTGATTCATCAATGAACATACTAGAAAATTAATTATAAATTTAATTTAGAAAATTGGTACATCCTTTTGTAATAATACTCAAGTGGCATCAAAAATATATTGATTTGTTAAAATTACAATGACATATAGATGTAATCTATGCATACAAGAACTGAGCATGTTTACACAAACATACAGATTATATATGTCAGTGTATCGTATACATCCATAGTAAAAAATTAATTTGCTAAGATTGCATATTTTGTTGGATAGGATAGGATTTGATAGGATTACGGTTGTTTATTCTTCGACTATATTTTGTGATTTCTGTAATGAGGATATCTTATTTTTGTAATAGAAACTACTACAAAATGGCTAAAATGGCATTAATCTTCACATTAATGAAGTTAAAGAGCTTGTATACAATGAAATTCTTTAAGCACTTGAAATTTGTGAAAAAAGTAGATAGAACCTAATTAATTGGAGATAGATAGTCCAATTAGCACATTAACTTTTCAATCATTCTCAAGTTCAGACATAATTATAAAGACATTATTGTCTTTATAATATGGGAAATAATAATTCAAAATAATATAATTGTTTTAAGGTTATGCTTTTCTTCAACATAAATAAGATGATGAGTGTGCCTTACATAACAGGTGCATAGAGAAAAACATGTTCCCTAAATGTATCAAAACATTATTTGAAGACAATTTGGAAATTTACTAAATATTTGAAAACACAAAATTCTTTATATACATTTAAAAGAAAAAAATGCATTTATCTCCTTAAATACCTCCATTCTGTGTTATAGTAATTTTTATGTATAATCTATTAATTCATGATTGTTATCCATTTTACAGAAAATCAATGTTTTGGGTTTTTTTGCAGTGAGCCCCATGCGCGGTTCTATGCAGCTCAGATAGTGCTAACATTTGAGTACCTCCATTCATTAGACCTCATCTACAGAGATCTAAAACCTGAAAATCTCTTAATTGACCATCAAGGTTATATCCAGGTATGACTTGAACATATCTTATATAACATATTTGAGAAAATACTAAGTAAGAAATCTATGTCAACTATCAATGTTGGACTTTTTCTTTTTTGAGAGAGAGACAATCACTGTTTCCTGATAGCTCAAATTGAGTTTTTAGTTCTGCTGTTATTACAGAGAAGCAAGAAATCACATCAAGGATGGAACTGTTCTAATCTCCTATAACAATTGTGAACTGAATATAGACTCCTGCATAAGCAAATGATAATAGCTAACTTTGTGAGTACTTATTAGTGCCAGGCATATTCCAAGTGTTTTACATGTACAGGATGGAGTATCCCTAATATGAAACTTTTTGAGTATCAGTGTAAAACCACAAGTAGAAAATAGCACATGTAATTTCCTATGAAGGACACAGGCAAATTACAGATACACTAGAAATATTATATAGTTAGCTTTAGGTTATGACAATAAGGTGCATATGAAACAAATGAATTTCATATTAGACTTGGAACACATCATCAATATCTCACTTGTATATATAGATATTTCAAAATTCAGAAACATCCAAAATCTGAAACACTTTAGGTCCCAAGCACTTTGGATAAGGGATACTTCACTTGTGTTATTTCTTTTAATCCCGACAACTCCATGAAGTGTAAATACGATTCTTATGCTCATTTTAAGTTAACATACATAAGAGATAGCAAGATGACAGAGCCACTAAATAGTAGAGTCAAAATTTGTACGCAGGTAGTCTGATCTTGGAGTCTATGCTTTTTATCATTACAGCAGCCCAATTACCGAAACTGAACTGGTGACAATGTTTCGTTTCCATTTCTTCTATTAACAGAGTGATACATTCCTTTCTACAAATTTGTCTGTACGTTCTCCCAATAATGCTTTCATGCTTTGTTGATGTAATTAATGACTGAGGACACATTGACTATAAAGAATACTTACAGCATTGTTCCATTTTTTAAAAATTATTTTTACCTTTTATTTATTTATTTATATTCCTTGAGTCTAGAATCTTATGATAACAACTACAAAGCATTTATTGTTGTTTTTCATCTGTTTCTTTGTTTTGAGAGGGAGAAGGGGTTTCCAATTTGAGTTGTTTTAATAACCTTTATTCACTAAATAATCACTTCAGGAATTAGTCTCAGTTATATTGACCTAATTCCACGATTTTCATTTTAATCCTGGATTTCTACCCCCGCCAACACACACTGATACTAAGGCTTGAACCCAGAGAGTTTCTACTCTATTACTGAGCTATATCCCCAGCCCTTTTTTATTTTATTTAAGACAGTATCTCCCTAAGTTTCTGAGGCTGGTCTTGAACTCATAATTCTCCTTCCTCCTGAGTCACTGATATTACAGGTGTGCACTGCCACATCTTACCCTGAATTTTTAACTTTCAATTTGGGTACCATAAATAACATTTATCATGAAGTGATAAATTTTAACAAGCATTTTTTTTTTCTTTTATAGGTCACAGACTTTGGGTTTGCCAAAAGAGTTAAAGGCAGAACTTGGACATTATGTGGTACTCCAGAGTATTTGGCTCCAGAAATAATCCTCAGCAAGGTATATTTATAATGTCAGTTTGTAAGAAGTAGCAACATGAGGCATGCATCACTGTGGATTTTTGTGTAAACAATTATGGGTCTAATTTTACATTTTTTATTTGATCTAAGTTATGAATTTAAATCTATTTGTGCATGATTACTCAGGAATAACTATTTAGAGTTAGCATTAATCCCCTAAATTATATCAGTTTTGACTATGGATATTAGAGAAATAGAGTGGAAAAAAATCTAACCTCTAGCTCCATATTTGAAGCCAAATATATAGTCTTTCATAATTATTCCCAGTAACAGGAGAACCAGTAAGCCTTGCCAAGAGGCAAATCTAGTGGTGAAATATACAGTTATCAATTCTTCCTTTGTTTCAAATTTATCAATTTAATGAAAGGAATGTGTGAAAATTATTTTTAATTTTAGCTTAGTAGTGATATTACAGCAATTGAATAATTTGTCTATTGAAAGCAGTCCTACTTTTCAAACAGTGAACTGTGGGAGGAGAAACTACAACCATATTTAAAAGAATGGTTTAACTTTTCTTTTCTTTTCCTCACTGTTCCTTGATGGAGAAAGCTAGAAGAGAGAAATTAACAAAAACTGACCATAAATAGGAGCAAGGAAAGTGAAAGAAACCAGACATGGGTCTTATTGTGTCACAAACTGACTAACTGAAATTTGGTTAACCTATGGAATGTTAAAGTAAAAATTTTCTTATAGCTTTTCTTCTATTATCTTTCATAATTTAAATCACATATAACTTTTTAGTCTTTTATAATCTAAATATCATGCTATTAACACATTTCTTCTTTATAAAATGCACTCAGCAAATAATGTAACCACAAAATAAGCACCAAAACTGTACAAGTGTGTATATGTTATAAAAGTAATAGACGCGTATTGCAGAAAACTTGGAAAATGCAGAAAAATATAAAGAAACAATCCTAAAACCTACAATCCCACCACCCAGAGGCAGCCTTTTGACATTTTTTTTTTATGCATGATATCCTAGTTGAGATCATAGTGAATGTATAGTTTTGTGGCTAGCTTTTTTCACTTGCATGTTAACAAGCATGCAAACCTCATTCTTTTTTTTTTTTTTTTTTGTCTTTGTGGTGTTAATGCTTGTATGCAAATGTACCATAAAGTATTTAGCCATTCTTCTATTGAATATTTAGATTTTTTTTCAATTGTTGTTTTCAGAAGTTTTTGTTGTTGTTCATTTGGGTTTTTTTTTTTTGTTGTTGTTGTTTGTTTTTTGCTATTATATACAATTGTGATAAACATCTTTGTGCATAAAGCTTTTTCTGTATTTCACATTATTTCCTTAGGATAGATTCCCAGAAGTGGAATTACTGGGTCAAAGGGTATGAACATTTTTAAGGCTCTTGATACATATTATCAAATTGCTTTCCAAAAGGTTGTACCAGTTTATACTCCTACCAGTAGTCTTTTGAGAGTACCTATTCTACCACACCCTTTCCAACACTGGTATTCTCATTTTTTTTTAAATTTACTAATTTAATAGGCAATAACTAATGTGTCATTGTTTTAATTCTCATGTCTTTGATTGTCAGATTTCTTTCAAATGCTTAATAACCATTTGGTATTTCTTTGGGTGTGTGTATAAATTATTAGTTCATGTCCTTTGCCTATTATCTATTGCAATTTAGTGAGTTTCTTACTGATTTGTTTTAATTTTCTATGCGGAGGCTGTTCTTGTACCTGGCCTATTTACTTGTAAACAGAAAAAAATGAAAGCATATAAATCAGAGAGTTGAGCAACAGTGATGCCCATTTCCATCAGCAAAATCAAGTGCTGTTCCCATTATGTCACTCCCTCCTTTTAAAAAACACGTAGAATCAGGAAAAAGAAAAAAACTCCGCTGTATTATGACACCATATTTTAGCTAATAATTTGAAAACTAAATTATTTATAAAGCTAATGTTTTGATAAAGGGTGGAGTGTGGCGAGGAATGATAGCAATTAGAGGGTATATTAAAAGGCAGAATAAAAAGTCTGAGAAGAACTCAGCTTATTTCTGTCCATGATCAAGTGGTGGTGGTTTTTTATTCCCATACTATTGTGCCAACTGACACAGATCAAAGTTTATTCAAAAACTTTGATGTAAAAAAAACCTTCATGTAAACATGTTAGTATAAACATGTTATAAATATTTGTTTTCTTATAAATACTTATAGATCTTAATTTTAGTAAGCTTAATATAAAAAAGCCAAACCTAATTAAACAAATTTTTGAATTGTATATTTGGTTTCTAAAGCACTTTTTATTCAAATTATTCCCTTTATTTTGATACATTACTCACAAAACCAGCTGGGCTTGGTGGCATATGCCTGTAATCCCAGTGCCTCGGGTGCAAGGGGGCGGGGGGGCTGAGGCAGGAGAATCATGAGTTCAAAGCCAACTTCAGCAGCTTACCAAGGCCCTAAAGAATTCAGTGAGACCCTGTCTCTAAATAAAATACAAAAAGGGGCTGGGGATGTGGCTCAGTGGTTAAGTGCCCATGGGTGAAATCCCCAGTACCAAACAACAAAAAAACAACCCTCGTGAACTAGTTTAACTAGTTTTCTTCTCTTTATACCTTTTAGAGATGAGAAGCAAAACAATAGACAATTACAAAAGTAAAATATACTTAAAATATTAGTATTAATTGAATTTCACATTAAACTTTTAGCATTCATGAGATACTGTGAAATGGATATGATTATCCATAGAATATTAACCCTCCTAACTCCAAGAATGTATTATACTTTTCAATCAACTTCACTATTTACCACTTTAGTACGCCTATTTTGTTTCAGAAGTTTGGACCTGTCTAGGTCAAAACCCAATTCATACAATTGTGGACCTAGAATGGGCTTTGGAGGTAATTTGGTCTGACTCCCTTTCTACTATTGAGCAACTAAATTATCCCAGTGAAACAGGGGACATTTCATTGTCAATAATATTCTTAATGATTCTAGGAAGATGATTTACTAATCCTTCCTAAATCTTATTCCAATATCTGGAAATTCTCCCCTTTGTTTAACTTAAATTTGACCTGATACATTTTGTTCCTTTTTCCAGAATAGCTGTTTAGCAACTGCTTACAAAATGTTTCATAGCTTCCAGGTCATTTTGAATTTACCTATGATTTCATTTTCCTCTGAGCAAATTAAGTGATCATTGACATTGGTGTTGGTTTACCTCAGGGATACAATAAGGCAGTGGATTGGTGGGCATTGGGAGTGCTAATCTATGAAATGGCTGCTGGCTACCCACCATTCTTTGCTGATCAACCAATTCAGATTTATGAAAAGATTGTTTCTGGGAAAGTAAGTAAAAAATTTTCTTATTTTTATTCATTATTTCTAAATATGAATTTTAAGGTTTAAAAATAGAACCATATTATGTTTTCATCCTAACTTGGGATGTATTTTACTACATTTTATGTTATGTCAGTATTTATAAATAAGGGAACTACTGAAGAACTTATACCCTAACTGTGTATAGAACTTATACCCTAACTTATACCCTAACTGTGCAAATAGAAAAATGCCTCTTACAGATGAATAAACTGAGTTAGGTATTGAAAGATTTACAGTGATAAAGGCAATACAGCAAGACAGAATGGAGAAATTACATTAAATAATTATCACTGCTGTTCTTGTCACATTTGTAGATTTCTAAGCTTCAGATCTCTTATCTTTGTATATAATTGTTTTTCTCTTGTAGGATATAAGTCATAATAAAAGAAATTTTGATATTAACAAAATAAAAATGCTGAGAAAAAGTAACAGGGAAGTTAATGATTTATTTATTTAAGAATTTGAGCAGTAAATTTTTAAATTTAAGGGAGAATAAGGGCCAATGGTCATATGAGAGAACTAAAATATATTAAAATACAAATGAGAGAAGAGAATTTTATTAATACAAAGTCTAAGAATATAGAAAATATACTAATATTTTCAAATTATTGAATCTTAATCATTTAATTGAATCCTTACTATATTCCTTTTTTTTACTTGACTTCATAAAGATATCAGATTCTTTGAAAAGGAACTTATACCTCAAAGTAGAACAGTTGTCAAACTGAGGCCATTTCACATTTATAAAAATACACTTATTTTATTGAAAGCAATTTTTCTAAGTAAATGTCATTTTAGTTATAAGTTTTTTAGCTATTTATGAAAAGGTTTTTATTTCATATCAAACTTTCAATATTTTGTATCCAATCTTCTGCATATGTTCTAAAATAATAATAGTTAAAGCAGGTGCCGTGGCAACTTGTGAGGCTGAGGCAGAAGGATTGGAAATTTGAAGCCAGCCTCAGCAACTTAGCCAAACCCTATCTCAAAATAAATTACAAAGGGCTGGAGTTGTAGTTCAGTGCTAGAGTACTCCTGAGTTCAATCCCCAGGACCACAAAAAAAGGATAAATAAAATTAAAACTAATTAAATAAATAAATTATAACAGTTTAAATTCTAGTCTTTTAGAAGACTAACAGTATAAAACTTTACCATATCATGATATGAATATTTTCCCTTTATTTATTTAGAAATATGACAGGGTGTTTGGTGTACTTTTATTTTTAACTAAAGGTTCCAGATTATCTCCCTATATTGTGTATGTTTGATTCTATCCTTTGCTCCCTTTATTCATGGAGGTAGAATAGTGCCATTAAGTGATCTCTGGTATCTGTATTATGTGAAACACAGACCATATTCACCTTTTCCCAGTAAAACTGTTCTAATACCCAAACTACACTGTACCCACCTTGCAAAGCTATTGTTACCTCTCGAGATACTAACTAAAAGCCAAATTGGAAACTAGTTTTTAAATTTTTTAATGTTCAAATCATTAAAAAAACCAATTTTCATCTCATTTGTGGAGTCTCTATTTGCATTTACATTTTTAATGGTTTTAATGATGTGCAGTATCATGTAAGAATATTTTTTATTCAGAACTGCTTTTTCTGATTTTAAAAGAATATTATTTAGTGCATCATATTATTGATTATATTTTCCACTCTGAAACCATGCTAAAAAAATTATAAGTATACATGACTTATCAAAGGTAAAATAAAATGATTAATTGAATCGATAAAACACTTATATTTGAATGTTAGATTATTAAGTTCTTTCTCTGTTACAATATTTTAACTCAAGCTGGTATTTTCAAATGCACAGAAAGATGATCAATCAGCTTGTTAGGTTCTCTCCTACACATATTTTGTGTTTAAAAAAACAGAGGAGGTGGTATTTAAATGTCAAATTAGTCATGCAATATTAAGGTTCAGGTTTAGAAATGCATAGTTAACAGAAAAGATTTATAATTCTTTTCTCACTATGCCTTGTCCTAGAGATATATGCTGAGTTTCTGTATAATCCTTAAATTTCATGCCTCAGTGCCATCCACCCTATGACAAGAATCAGTTGTGGTTTCCACAACAACTCTATCTGGCTGCATTACCCATGGAAATACAAAAGTTAATATCTTGTTCAAAAATGATACTTGCAAATAAAGTAATCAAGTGACAGCTGTTATGGAAACCATAATTGTAGAATCTGTGACCTTTACAATTAAAAAAATTTCTTAGCTTCATTATATATAATGTAAATATTAATATAAATATTGTTCCTTGTAATGAGCACCATGAATGCACAAGGAGACACTATACACAATATAAACATTAATATATACTGAATGATCAAGAGTTGGTTTAGTTTAATATATACTAAAAGGTAATTGATTAGTAGCCATATGGTAATTTTCCTCTGTGTCAGAGTTTCCAAAGTCCAGGTTTGGTGATTAACTGGGAGGACTCACAGAACTCAGCCTATGTTGGTAGTCACAGTTAAGACTTATTACAGTGGTAGAATACAAAGCAAAATCAGCAAAGCATTTTAAAGATAGTCCAGATAAAGTCCAGAGAAAGTAGTCACAAGCTTTCAAAAGTCCTCCCCAGGTGAGCCACAAGAGATGCACGTGACTCTTCTAGCAACAAATTGTGAAACACATGAAATGTTAGGTACCAGCAAAGCTCATGAGACTCAAGTGTCATGTTTTTTTGGAGAGCTAGTCTTATATGCATTCTCTACCTAACATACACCAAACTTTCAGAATCCCAGAATGAAATAGATGTTTAGCATAGACCATATTCTTTATACAAATAGACTAGACACAGTGAGCTACTCTTGTCATTAAGAGATATTTTCTTTTTTTTTTTTTTATTGGTTGTTCAAAACATTACACAGCTCATGACATATCATCTTCCATACATTTGATTCAAGTGGGTTATGAACTCCCATTTTTTACCCCAAATACAAGTTGCAGAATCACATCGGTTACACATCCACATTTTTACATAATACCATATTAGTGACTGTTGTATTCTGCTACCTTTCCTATCCCCTACTATCCCCCCTCCCCTTCCCTCTCATCTTCCCTCTCTACCCCATCTGCTGTTGTTTAATTCTCTCCCTTGTTTTTTTTTTCCCCTTTCCCCTCACAAACTCTTATATGTAATTTTGTGTAACAATGAGGGTCTCCTTCCATTTCCATAGTTTCCCTTCTCTCTCCCTTTCTCTCCCCCCACTCGTCTCTGTTTAATGTTAATCTTTTCCTCATGCTCTTCTTCCCTGTTCTGATCTTAGTTGCTCTCTTTATATCAAAGAAGACATTTGGCATTTGTTTTTTAAGGATTGGCTAGCTTCACTTAGCATAATCTGCTCTAATGCCATCCATTTCCCTGCAAAATCCATGATTTTGTCATTTTTTAGTGCTGTGTAATACTCCATTGTGTATAAATGCCACAGTTTTTTAATCCATTCATCTATTGAAGGGCATCTGGGTTGATTCCAAAGTCTAGCTATTGTGAATTGTGCTGCCATGATCATTGATGTGGCAGTATCGCTATAGTATGCTCTTTTAAGGTCCTCAGGGAATAGACCGAGAAGGGCGATAGCTGGGTCAAATGGTGGTTCCATTCCCAGCTTTCCTAGGAATCTCCATACTGCTTTCCATATTGGCCGCACCAGTTTGCAGTTCCACCAGCAATGTACAAGTGTACCCTTTTCCCCACATCCTCGCCAGCACTTATTGTTGCTTGACTTCATAATGGCTGCCAATCTTACTGGAGTGAGATGGTATCTTAGGGTGGTTTTGATTTGCATTTCTCTGACTGCTAGAGATGGTGAGCATTTTTTCATGTACTTATTGATAGATTGTATGTCCTCCTCTGAGAAGTGTCTGTTCAGGTCCTTCGCCCATTTGTTGATAGGGTTGTTTGTTATCTTGTTGTTTAATTTTTTGAGTTCTTTGTATATTCTGGATATTAGGGCTCTATCTGAAGTGTGAGGAGTAAAGATTTGTTCCCAGGATGTAGGTTCCCTATTTACCTCTCTTATTGTTTCTCTTGCTGAGAAAAAACTTTTTAGTTTGAGTAAGTCCCATTTGTTGATTCTAGTTATTAACTTTTGTGCTATGGGCGTCCTATTAAGGAATTTGGAGCCCGACCCCACAATGTGTAGACTGAAGCCAACTTTTTATTCTATCAGGTGCAGAGTCTCTGATTTGATATCTAGGTCCTTGATCCATTTTGAATTTACTTTTGTGCATGGCGAGAGAAAGGGGTTCAGCTTCATTTTGTTGCATATGGATTTCCAGTTTTCCCAGCACCATTTGTTGAAGATGCTATCCTTTCTCCATTGCATGCTTTTAGTGCCTTTATCAAATATAAGAAAGTTGTAATTTTGTGGATTGGTCTCTGTGTCCTCTATTCTGTACCATTGATCCACCTGCCTGTTTTGGTACCAGTACCATGCTGTTTTTGTTACTATTGCTCTGTAGTACAGTTTGAAATCTGGTATCGCTATACCTCCCGATTCACACTTCCTGCTTAGAATTGCTTTTGCTATTCTGGGTCTTTTGTTTTTCCATATGAAGTTCATGATAGCTTTATCTATTTCTACCAGAAATGCCGTTGGGATTTTGATTGGCATTGCGTTGAACCTGTAGAGAACTTTGGGTAATATCGCCATTTTGATGATGTTGGTTCTGCCTATCCATGAACAGGGTACATTTTTCCATCTTCTAAGATCTTCTTCTATCTCTCTATTAAGAGATATTTTCATCCAGTCTAAGGAACGAGTGCTATTCAAGTTCCCAAATACCTGCCAACTGTCAAACTTGCAAGCAGTCCTCTCTAAGGATGGCAAATCAGTCCTCTACATTAACTTGTCTGTGCACGTTCTATTTTCTAAATAGCATACACATGCACATATACAACTACACTTTCTAAGATGCCATCATTAATACTTTTTTGGGAAATTTAGATGCCATTTTCTGTTTGGCTATGGCTATAGTTAGAGACATAAAAGTACTCAGAAGTCATCTTCATAAAATGCAAAAGCAGTTCTAATATTTGCATAAAGGACTATTTTTTTTAACAATTTGCTGTGATCATTTAAAATTCTCCTTAATACTTTGAGACAGCCCTTTATTCTGGTAGTCCAAGGGGCAAATGATTGCAACACTGATTCACTGGGAGTGAGGATCGGGTGGGTAGTAGCTCTCTGCAGCCATCTAGATTTGTTATATCTTCTGTTGTTCATGCATAGGTAAGGGAACAAATTAGAGAGCATACAGGCACAGTACCAATATTATAAATATTTTCAGTGTCTTGGTGCGTTTTATTTATAGAATCCTTGCTGATTAAAGTTGCTGTGGGTTCTATTAGGCAGTGTGATGCTTAGCAACATGTCTATAGAAAGCCTTCTATGTGAAAAGCTGTTCTGTCTTTAGAAAAATTGACTGATATATATGATCATTTTTGTTTAATAAATCCTTTACAGGGATTGCTGATGGTTTAGAACTTACTGTACCTAGTTTAGGGAAGTAATTTCTTAAAATTTTTTCCAACATGCTTGTGAACAGAAGCTAATAGGTTATTGGTTATTGCTTGTTAGCCGTGTGCAAATCCTTTTGAGGCATTTAAGCCAATTTTATCCCAATCATTAAAGATAACATTACTAAACAGTCCTTTCCCCTGCCAATAATTGCAGAATGTCAGGAAGATCTTTCCCTTCTATCAGCCAAAGATCAACTTTATAATTTATGTAATTAAACATAGACAAATATGATTTGATTTGATTCTAAAGAAAAAAAAAGTCAGTAAAACCAGTTAGTGAATTTAAGTCATGAATACCATAATGACATGAACTGATTTGTTTTTTGGAAGTAACTTCCTCTTATATTTGTAGAAAATAATAGTCATTCCTAACACTGAAATGTACATGACTCTATAATTGGTGCTGAAAGCAGAACAAATATTGAATTTGCTCAATTCAGAATGAGATTCATAGTTTAACATATTGTGTAATGTAATTTGATAAAGTAGTTTAAGATATCAGCTATGTTCACAATCTTATAAAACAAGGTTATAGTCATCCATTTTCTCCTTACTCTGTCAAATTTAAGACTTTAAGAAAAGGTGGAAGTGTTCATTCAATAAATAAACAGGTGGAAGATGAGCCAGAAAGATGAGAGAAACTTCCTACATATTCCAGATAACTTTCCTAACAAAACCGTCCTTGTGTAACCTGGAAACATAAACATCGATTATAGACTTGTTGTTTCCATGTTCAAAAATTCAACTTCAGATCATTAAAACAGTTCTAATGGGAAGGTTGAAAACCTAAAAAAAAAATGTATTGAATAACTGCCTATAAGATGTTAGTGATTATAATGCAAGACAGTTTCATAATTTATTTTTATACCAACCAGATGAAAGTATAATCTCATCATTTTATAGATGAGGAAATTGAAACTCAAAAGGTTAAAGGGTTTGTCCCGCATGTATGTAACTAGAGTTGAGATTGGCACCCAGGAATTCTTTCTAATAAAGAAATAGCTTGGCTGCATGGAGTGGTGCACACCTGTAATTCCAGCTGCTAGAGACCTGAGGCAGGAGAATCACCTAGGAGTCTGAGGCTAGCCTGGACAACATAGCAAGACCTGTCTCCTAGGGCTGGGGGAGGGAATCTAAAAAAGAAACAGCTTGGTAGAATTTTTTTGGTGGTGAAGATAATTGAATTTATTTTTTGAAATGTTCCCAAGTGAAGCTGATATCAGCCATCACAAGCCACCACCATTCCCCATTTGAGAATCCTTGTTCTGAAGATGAAGCAAACACATACACACACACACACACACACACACTTTTCAGACCATGATTTTATCTGCATTACAAAATAAAGAAGAACTTAATAAAGATACTTATATTCTTAATGCATTGCATTGCACATGACCTGAATTTAGAACATAATTTATGTATAGTACATTACTTTCTACAATTCTGAACATCATGAAGGGGCTAACTGGCACATTATGATTGAATAATTCATGTAAATTCTATTCTAAGCAAAGACAGATCTACTTCAAATATGTTTTTTTCTTTGGAATTGCAATAAAGTTTAGATATACCACAAGAAAAGCCTAAGCTAATATAACCACTGGAAAAATATGTTATTTTTACAGTAAATAGTGTGCCTTTTACTATTGCTTATTCTCTACTTATTACTCCAACTAGGATAAATGAGGAGAAATGCAGAAAAATATATTAAGATGAAAAATTCAGTATTTTAGAAGGTTTCTGATAGTGACTATTTTCAGTTTTTTGAATCATGGAAGCAATACAGAATAACTAGAAGTCTATACTCTGGAGTCATAGTACCTGTTTGGAATTACAGCTCTACCACTTATTAGCTCTATAATCCTGGGCAAATTATTTAATCATTGTAGTTCTCAGTAGCTTCACTCACTCTATAATGTAGGCACAATAATCACACCTCAGCCCCAGAAATCTTCATTTTTTACCATGTTTGTCTCTGAGTTTATTCCATTCACTTTAAAAAAAAATTTTTTTAGTTGTAGATGGACAATATACCTTTATTTTATTTATTTATTTTTATGTGGTGCTGAGGATAGAACCCAGTGCCTCACACCTGCTAAGTAAGCACTCTACCACTGAGCCACAACCCCAGCTCTTCCATTCACTTTTGTACTGTAGCATAATAGCAGAACTATGCCTAAAAATCAACTACTAATAAATGAAAAATAGTTTTCTGTGTTGTGAAAGGCAGTGTGGGTTTATTTACTTATTCTAATTTGTTATACATGACAGCAGAATGTGTTTTGATTCATAGCACACAAATGGAGCACAATTTTTTATTTCTCTGGTTGTACACATAGACTTACTTTTTTTTATAGATCTTTGAAAATGTACATACTGATTTTTTTCCATATGCAGTTTGTTCTGTTTATATTGTACATCTCTGAGACAGAGGTTTGTAATGTAAAATACAAGAGGATCTCTTGAAGATGGATGATGTTTCTGATATTGTTGGAAAAGTTTGTATGTATGCACATTTAGTTTCTGGAGACTGGTCTACACTCAGCCCATAACTAAAATAAGACCAGAAGAGAACAGTGTTTTAGTTTATTAACCTAAATCATTCTTCAAGACTACTACAGGGACTGTAATGTGGAGTTAAAAGGTCTTTGAAGATCATCGCTAAATTTTTTTGTATACCTGTCACCTTAACAAAAAATTTATGAAATCAAAACATGAATATTGGAATGTGTGTTTTCCCACATACTGTATTTGTGCAGGTTCGATTCCCATCCCACTTCAGTTCTGATCTCAAGGACCTTCTAAGGAACCTGCTCCAGGTGGATCTGACAAAGCGATTTGGAAATTTAAAAAACGGTGTGAGTGATATAAAAACTCACAAGTGGTTTGCCACAACAGATTGGATTGCTATTTACCAGAGGAAGGTAAGATTCTACTTTCTTTTTAATATAATAAATTGAGAAATTCAAGAAAAGATTTTGCTATGATGAATTACCTTTATCTCCCCCTTTCCTTCTTAAGTGCCAAGTTAAAAATAATTTCATGAATAGTATTTTCATCCTGCTGAATTTTTTTCATCGTATTTTTCATAAAACCAAAATTTGTCATGGTTTAGAGATTTGCCATCTTCTATAATATTGTGCAGCCACATGAATGGATTTCCTTAGGGGAAAATATTTAATGCTCTAATTAAATATTAAAAGCACAGTTTTTCTAATTCATGAATTTTTGAAAAGATTATAAAATCAGAGGAACAAAAGAATTTAAATGCAACAAATAGAAAATACACAAAGCAAAAAAAGCATTAGGGCAACAAAGCCTCCATATCTCAGGAAAGAGGGCCCAAAACCATCTAGTTCATGAAACATAGCTGTTAATATCATTGTCTCCAATAGGTGTGTTATGTAGTCAAGAATAAACTCTATAGTGATTAAAAACATTTTAGATCTCAAAAAAAAAAATCGTATTTTCATAGTTTTAAGCAACTCTCTGTAACTTCTCATTTTAGTCTTTGAAATAATCCTGTGAAACAGGCAGTGGTATTTTCCCCGTTTTACTAGTAAGGAAATCAGCTCAGATAGGTTAACTTAAATGTAATCTTACAGCTGCTAAATAATGCCTGTATTTGATTCCAAGTTCTTTAGATTCCCAATTCCAGTATCACATTACCCCTTTTTAAAGTCCTTTTAACATGAATTAAGGTGAAGCTCCAAAGTACTGAACAATGAATTGTTTTATAAAATCTTCATAGATATTTCATATCTTCATGAACTTTTATGTAACTTTTATGCTTTGAGAGGGGAGGCAAACTGTCTCAAAAGGCAGCAAAGAGGGGCTGGGACTGTAGCTCAGTGGTAGAGCGCTTGCCTAGCATGTGTGAGGCACTGGGTTCAATCCTTAGCACCACATAAAAATAAATAAAGTCAAGTCATCATGTCCATATACAACTAAAAAATGTTTTTAAAAAAAGAAAGGCAGCAAAGAAAGAACTTGAATTCTGGGGTTAGATAGATATCTAAATGCCAAATCAACCACCCATTTTAATGATCTTGAATGAATTATAAAGCATCAGTTTTATCATTCTTAAAATTTTGGATTAAGGTAGAGAATACAGAATAAGAAGTTATACTCCATTTATGTATGATGTATCAAAATTCATTCTACTATCATGTATAACTAGTTAGAAAAAAATTAAAAAAAATTTTTAAAGTCAGAGACTACAAAGGGAAGAGTTTCATAGAGGGAAAGATGAGATACATTAGTCCAGGCTCCATGTTTGTTTCATATATTTACAATCAGGAAATTTATTAAGTAAATGAATTTTAAATCATCAAAACCCCACTATCCAGATAGGACCTCTTAACATTTTTCATATGTTTTTCACATTTTTTTCCCTATTCTCCATCACGGCAGTCCATTCCATGACTTCAGTGACCACCTCAGATCTACTTCCTCCCTGAGCTTTCCTTCCAACCCTGAACTTTCCCCTCTACTCCAGTCCTTTATATCAAAATTGCTACTTACTACACAGTTCCATTCAGGATTATCCAATCATTCTTAAATAGTCTGTTCCACTCTTAGTGTGTTATTTAACCTGTATGTTCTCCTAATGCTTTTTGAAATCTAACTTTTTATTGTTGTATAATCAATTATCCAAACTGTCCCCTCAGTATTCGAGTTCTTTTTTGTCGATTCTTGTATTCTACACCATTTTATGTAACTTTAATAATGTGCTTTAATATTAAAAGATCTAGTTTTTCTATTCCTCTTCCAAATTTCCCATTCTCTTAATGTATTAGTAAATATTTATAAATATAAAGAAATATAATATTATATTTCCTAGAAAATCATACTTACCTCATATATTTCCCTTTCTTTTTTTAAAAATTAGATTTGCCAGTTAATTGTCTGTTTTATTGGTCTTTGTAAAGATTTATGTTTTATTTAGGGATTTCAATTAGTGTTAAAGTTGCATATTAATAAGAAAAAACCTTAACCTTGAGAATTTACCATAATAAACATACTATACTTCTGCAGTTACTGTTATTTTTCTGATATTCTCCTCCCTCAAACAGTTCGTATTTATTTATGTCTTAAAATTATTCCCAAAATTTATATTTTTGTTGGTATTGTGAAAGTTTGCTTTCCCATTATAGTAGCATATGAGGGAAGCATATGGTTTCTATGTTTATATACTATCATTAATCACCTTACTAAATCTGTTATGGATTCACATAGGCTTTTCCATAATTCCTTTGAATTTTTGTTAATATTCATGGAGGAGCAGGGGTATCATTTTGCCTTTTCTTTTTCAATATTTATATCTCTTATTTCCATTTTGTTTTATTATATATGCTAAAATATCTAGAACAATATGTTAAAACAATAGACTATTGTGCTTTCTTGTGTTATTCCTACTTTGAATGGAAATTCCTTTCATCTTTTACTAACAAATCTGAAACCAACTATTTTGCTAAGACTGATATTCTATATCAGATTAAGGAAATAACCTTTATTCTTCAAATATTTTCTTTGATATATTAGTGTGATGAATTATCATTGTTCTATCTTCACATCCTTGAATACCATTTAATCATGGGGTATTTTTATTATTTTAATATTCTTCTGCAAACAGTTTGTAAAACTGTTTGATTTAGGATTTTTATTTCCATAATCATAGGTTTTATTGATCTGTATTTTTTGCTTTTTTGAAGTTGAGATTAGGCAGGAGTCATAAAATGAGTTTGGTTATTTTCCATGTTTTTTAATTCAGACAATTCAGGAACACAGAATTATCTTATTCCTTATAAATTTTAACAAAAAATATCCTGAGTCTTCTTACATAAGATTTAGAAATTTATATTTTCCTCTAAAATAACTACATTCATTTATACTTATTACTGTTTCTTATCTTTATTGTTAAACTTATTGTTAATTAATGCTATATTTAGGTATATTTTTAGATGTTTGTGGTTTATGTATATATAATTTTTCTGATATATATATATATACATATATATATATATCAGAAATCTGATTCTTGATATATATATGTATATATGATGAAATTTTTATATATATATATCAGAAAGAAAAACAGAAGTGGCTTAGACAACTCAAATTGTATATTCATTCTCTAGAGATGGTTGGTTGCCCACAGGTTTGATTCTAATTGCTGTCTGGCTAAAAATGAGGCAACTGTCTGCTTAACTCATTCTTCTCTAGTGTATGACAGCAGTCCCAAAGCAAGGCATGCAAGACAACCATGTGGCAAGTGAAGAGATAATATTAGGATTTCCATTCCAACTTATTTTTACCTCATTCTTTTAAAATGTCTGTGTATATATCTTATATTAGTATAGTCATGCATGTAAATGTGAATTGCAATATTATTTTTCAGCTCTTAGAATCTTTTCCTCACGCATATTCAATACCCTATGTAATCTTCATAAAATACCATATCTAAAACTGGGTCAAAGAAGAAAAATGTATAAAAATTTGACAATTCTATAATTCTAAAAATGCTATATTTCTTTCCAACTTCCCAGAAAGTTTTGATGGCTAGATATTTTACACAAAATTAATTTGGGAACTAAAAAAGAAAGGAGATTAAAAGTAGGTCCAAGATTTATTTGTTAACCTCAGGAGAAAGGAGTTTTTAAAATAGAGGAAAGAAAAAAATAAAGATTTTGGAACTAAGAAACTGATTTAAAAAAAAAAAAGTAGAGTTCTGTAATCTTAATCTTAGCATTAAGATTAATCTTAATCTTAGCATTGGATGCCAGCAGTTAATTATCCTAGAAATTTCTTAAGTATTCTGTTGACCTGCACTATTCCTTGGGTGAAAATGTTGAGATTATTGGCTCACCTACTATTTGTTTTTTCCTCTAATGGTATTTTATTTGAGGGACTTAAGGATGCCAGCATGTAGTAATAATGGGAATTTATTTTCCTTAGTGTTTGAAAATTCTCAGGAATTTGTTTTTCCATGTTTGTTCTCGTTCTCTCTCTCTCTCTCTCTCTCTCTCTCTCTCTCTCTTTCTATTTCTCATTTATAGGTTGAAGCTCCATTCATACCAAAGTTTAGAGGCTCTGGAGATACCAGCAACTTTGACGACTATGAAGAAGAAGATATCCGTGTCTCTATAACAGAAAAATGTGCAAAGGAATTTAGTGAATTTTAGAGAGGAACAAGAAACCGCCAGAGCTTACACTCAGTCTTTGCGCTCTGTTGAGATATAAGGTGGAGCTGAGACCGTCCTTGTTGAAGCAGTTACCTATTCCTTCATTCCAGCGACTGAGTGAGGTCTTTATTGCCATCACCCCTGTGTGCTCTCTGCATCCACCTCTGTAATAAGGCACCGCTAAGCAAGCATTGTCTGTGCCATGACACAGTAGAGACCACTTCCCTACTCTTTGGGTTGTCTTTCTCTCCCTCCTACATCCATTTCTTCCTTTTCCTTAGTTTTTCTGTAAACAGTGCTCCATTTTATTTTGGTGGTATCTTAGATGGGCAGTGTTATGGTCATGTGATATTTGGAAGAAAGGATAAGTGTTGCTTTTAGTGGATTTTGCCAATATTTTATTGGTCAGTGGCTTCAAGACAAACTTTTTAATAATTATTTTTACTTTTAGTAACTTAGACTCAGTTTTGCCAAAACTCCTAACTTTTTTGAGGATTGAATGCGTTATCACCAAAGGAAATAGCACAAATTGAGACAAAAGATTCTTGGAATTCAAAAATGAATTTAGAATAGCTTGACATAGCAATTTAGATTCCTGGATTCCTATAGAACTTCCTATAACCTGAGGTTCTTTTTCCCTTCACTTTCTCTCCTTAAGAAATTAAATAACAGTCTGTATAGCATGAAAGATGTGTCTCATTCCACAAGAAAAAAATAAAAGAGATGGATCATGGCCCAGACTTTCTTACTTGGTACCAACATTTCTGTAGGTATTAGAGAAGAGTTCTAAGGTTTCTAAACCTTAACTTTCCCATAAGGGTTAAAGCCAGTATTTTAACAGAATGTGATTAATATAGGTGGCAAATTTAAATTTTCAGTCTTCACTATAAACCTTTTAAAGGAAAAGAAGCAAACTAAAAAAGTATTGGTTTGGATGAATACTTTGCTAAGTCAAACAAATGGCTTAATTCTTGAAAACAATATATATTCCTATTTAAGTGAGTTTTTTTTTCTTTGTTTTGCTTTATATTAAGAACAAAAGAAATTGTTATCTGCTTATTGTTCTGGTGTACTGTATTTTTAAGCCTAAGGTAGGGGCACTGTTGCAACTTCTGCTTTCATCCCATGCCTCAGCAATGAGGAAAGGGGACAAAATTCATAAAATTGCCACATTTGTATTTTAATTTTGGGGTGTGATATTTTTAGATGTTGTAATTTCTAACCTTTTCTCTTGGTAAAGAGATTATATGACCATGCAGATACAATTTAAGTATTTGAGTTTAGTTATTTTTTATACTTTTTTGCCAACTGACTTAATGTTGCTGTCATATGGAAATTTCAAGCACTTTTGCACATTTAGTTCAGTGTTTGTTGAGAATCCATGGCTTAACTCAATTTTTTTTTTTACTATATTTCTTCTTTCCTTTTAATTTTCCCTATCTGGTTTTTATCTCTGTGTCTCAGTGACCTATCTTAAAACAACACACCAAAATAGCTTAAACTGTGTTCATTTTTTTAATGATCAATTTATGTGCATAAAGATGAACTGTTTATAGTGCAACTGATCTTCTTGTATATTACTGTTCTATTTGCTTCCTTATTGGTGCAAGTAGGTCACTGACACCACATCTCATCTATACTGCCCTTTACAAAACCTTTGAAGACAGTGAATAATACTGTCTGAAATGTTCTGTCCACCAATCTGTATGTCCTTTCAGTGTCAAGTGTTTCTGCATGGTAATGTCACATAAGGCTGATGCTGATTTCAGTTGGTTCACCTATATTTAAATGTGCAAGTAAAATTTGAAACACTTTGCCATAGCAAGTTTTATGTAACAAAGATATATCATCATGTTAATAGATTTAAAACATCATTTGTATAAAATATTTTAATTAATTTTTTTTGTATTTCATTTAGAACCAAGAACATGCTGATCATTGCATTCTATATATATGCTACAAATTCTATGGTAGCTTTATTGTATATTATTGTAAAATTATTTCAATAAATCATGGGGATGATGCTTTGATTATTACAATTTAGTTTTCAGTAATCGAAAAATTTCTATAAATTCAAAAAATATTTTTTTCTATGAAATTACTAGTGTCCAACTATAGAATCTACCCAAGTAGACGACCCCTAGGTGTACATTGGTTTCTGAGGGCTATTCTGCCATTCCATTTTACTATTTGAAAAATATGAGCAAACTGTCAAATGTCATGGGAGTCTATTTCTGACCAATCAAGTACACTAAATTAAAATATTTTTAAAGTATATGAAGTTCTCAGTTTCAGCCACAGTATAGCCAAGAACAAGATTAAAAACTTGAATTTTAAAAAGTGGCAAAAAATAGTAATAATCTCAAATTACATTATGTGAAACAGTTATATTTTTGCCCAGTAAATAATTGAGATAGCATTGTATGGGAAGGAGTCCTATACTGAAGGTCAAGACATCTGAGTTTAAGGCCAGAAAACTATCAGAATGACCCTGGCTTCCATTCTCCTACCTGTAGAATAGAAGGATTAGATTAGGCACTTTCTGAGGTCCCTTCTAACTTTCCTGTGTTATGACAAGATTTTCCCTCTTCTCTTCTCTTCTCTTCTCTTCTCTTCTCTTCTCTCTTCTCTCTATATCTCTTATTTTGTGATATTTTGAAGGGATATCATGCTTTCAAATAAGTCTCAGTCATGTGATGTACTTTTGGGCATCTTTCTTCTTATCTCTGACAGTGTTCTTACAATTATTTGAATATCATGAGAACCTTGTGTATGTCCTGATTCCTTACTCATTCACTGATGCTAAATACACAGTTGCTATCAAACTGTCAACCTACCAAAAAAAAAAAAATACTGTGGCTTTTGGGTATCGCTGTCTTGTTCTTGGTATGTTCTTGTACTGACTGCCCACTGGCCTGGAAATATTCATTTTAGGCCTGGAAAAAAAATCATTTTTCTTTCCCACTAATTGTTTTTTCTGCTTGTGTAAGAATCAAATGAAATAATGTGTGTGAAAGCACCTTGTAAACTGTAAGCTATCAATGTAAAATGTAAAAGTGTATTGTTACTTCATTAATTACTTCTTTGTTTAGAATGGAATTTCCTGTCACTACCATAGCTAGGAAATGCTGAAAACAACCGTGTTTTTTAATTAATCAATAACTGCAAAATTAAAGTATCTTCAAAGGATAAAACTGTTGAGTCTTGTATTCTATTTGATACCCTTATCTTCTGATTTATGTTCTGCTGCTATTACAAATGCCCAAAAATTCCTATATCATCTCATATTGGGATTGATACTTTGTAGTGAGAGCAGAGCATTAGGAGGAGGAATATCCACCAATCTATTCAAACTAGATATTTGCTAGAAATTGCTAGACTCTGGGCTGGGTGGTGGCTCACTGGTAGAGAGCTTACCTAGCATGTGGGAGACGCTGGGTACGATCCTCAGCAGCACATAAAAATAAATAAAATAATGGTATTGTCCAATCACAACAAAAAAAAAAGAAAGAAAGAAAGAAAGAAAAGAAAAAAGAACTTGCTAGACTCATTCCACAGTTTCTAAAAAGTGTTTCTATTTCTTCCTCCTTTTCTCATGTTGGTCCAAATTACTCCTAACACAATGTTGGAAATGTTCATATTTCTATGATTGATACTGCATGAGCCCTCATCCTCGTATTTAAACAATGAACCATAAATGCATACTTTTTTTTTTTAGGAGTGCTTTAGAGCTTCACACTACCTCCTCCCAGTTTACTCAGGTTTATTAGTATGCATTTCTCCAGTTGTTCTCTATTGCAAGAAATAATTATTTTTAGATAATTATTTTAATGGTTTATCATTTGTTGGATTATTATTGCAAACATTTATAGACATTGACCTTTTGTAGCATGGTACTTACTATTTTTATACTATTATCAGGGCTTAATATAAATTCCAGTTTTCTCATTTCCTTATAAAACTAATTATAAAAATCTAAGGATGTCTTTACTCCAGAACTATCATCCTTTGAAATCCATTTAGTTTTATCTTTATGCACAAATATTGGATGTGAAGTTAATTATTTTTGTGTTAGTTTTTCTGACAAATTTTTTTATGTTTATTCAATAGCCTTTGAGCCCACTATTAGGGACTGAAATGTAACTTTTGTAGTGAACGAAATTCAAATGTTGCAGTGTGGTCACAAGTACCTGCCATCTTGTTCCTATTCTGTCCTAGAATACAAGCAGAAAACACTATATATTAGCTACTGAGATACTGAGAGTAGGAGAAAGCTTGGGTAACTCAAACTGCTACTAACTCCTGGACAGATTGACCCTCATCACCAAGTTGTCCTCTCGAAGTAGTGCTAATGCAACATAAAACTGAACACCAAGTTCATTGAGTTTAGAGTCTCTACCATCTGTTAATGGTGATACTAACAATGAAATAACCAAAGAGAAGTGGGAATAGGAATAAAAGGTCAACAAGGAAACCCTAGTTAGATCACCATCTCCTGATTTTTTGGTGGTTAGTAATGCTCACAGTAAATGATTACCTTTTCTATTGCTGCTCTAACAAATCTCCACAAACTAAATGGCTTAAGCCAATAAATTTATTATCACAACTCTGGGGTCTATAACAAGTCTCACTGGATTAAGATCTCAAGGGCTGCATTCCCTTCTGGAGGCTCAGAGCAGAATCTGGTTCATTGCTTTTCCCAGCTTTCAGGGTCACCAACTTCAAAGCCAGTAATGTTGGGCCAGGTCCTCATGCTGCATCAATCTTAGCTCCTCTTCTGCTTCTCTGTCTCACTTAAAGACCCTTGTGATTACATTAGGCACACCTAGATAATCCAGGCAAATGTCCCTATTTTAAAATCTGCTGATGAGCAATTTTAATTCTATCTGCTACTTGAATTCTCCTTTCCAATATATCCTAACATATTCATGGGTTCTACATTAGGACATGGACATCTTAGGAGAAGGAAGGAGGCATTATTCTACTACCACACTTAATATCATTTTAGGTAGAAAATGCAATTATTTGAAAGATGGAAATAGAGACAGTCTTTCACAATTCAAAGAAAAAAAAAAGGCTTAAACTGAGATTTTCCTGAAGTGTAATGCTTAGCATACTGTGAATATTCAAGAATATTTTATAGAACTTAATGAGTAACAATGTCAGTTCCTAGTGCCATGAAAATGTTCGACATCACTATTCATCAGTGCAGGAAGTGTTTCCAGGTGGCATTGGACTGACCCATTTCTCCCTACCCCTTCCCTTTTCCTGCATTCAGATCTCAGAATAAATACAGAATAACCTGAGAATGCAAAAATCTTGATTTAAGTTTGAACCATATGAAATACTCAGACCTTATTCCTGTTCCTTTTAGGAAATGTAACATCTCAAGTTAAGGAGATATTGCCAGGACATCCCAGGCCTTGGTCCTCCCAGCAGTGGAAGCAGGATGTCCTTCAGAGCTTTGGCAGTGAGTCATGTTGCCCCTGAGGTATATAACCCAGGGTGCGATACTTTTCAGGGTCTCTCAGCTACCGCACAAGTGTGGTATGCTCAGTGGAGACTTCACCTGTCCTAAGCAACTTTCTCTAGCCATGGGGGACTGGCTTACAATGGATCCAAGACTTCCATCGGCTGCCTATTTATAGATAATCAACCTGCTTCATGTAACTGGCACATATGAGCGTGTTCAGTCTCACTGTTTTCAGGCAATTGGTAAAACTGTAGCCTAAGATGCAGTGGGCAGTGTTTAGATGCCTGATCCTGCCGACTGGCATAGTAATGCTGTTTGCTATCCTCAGTGCAGCAGGAATCCTCCCTTGGGATTGGTTATTAGCAAACCTTTTCTACAGTCACTAAAATGCAAATTCAAACCATAATTAAATGCCACTGTAGACCCAATGGAAAGGCTAAAACTAAAGACTGTCAATACCACGCGTTGGTGAGGATGTAGACCAAGTAGAATGCCATGCATTTCTAAAGGGAATGCACTTTGGAATAGTTTGGTGGTTTGTCATAAAGTTAAACATTTACTTACCATATGTCCAGCCATTCTACTTTTAGTTATTTACCCAAGGTAATGAAACCATACATCTACACAAATATATGAATGTTCATAGCAGCTTTAAAACAACCCCACTCTGAAAAAAATCCAAGTGACTAGCAATCAGTGAATAGATCAACAAATGGAAGCACATCAGCAATGGGATACTGCTCACCAAGGAAAAAGAACAAAGCACTGAAACAAGTCACAAGATGAAGACATCTGAAAAGCATCTTTAGTTGTCTATATTTGTCAGAATTCATTGTACACTTAAAATTAGTACATCCTACCTCAGGAGGAATGATTAAAAGAAACAATTATGAAAAGGAAATAAATTTTAGAATAGATATGCATATACTAGAAGGTTAGTAATCTAGAGGGTATAGACTACAAAATCTCTCAGAATGAGTATCCAAAAGATAGAAAAATATGAGAGAAAAGTTAAAAAACATGGGAGTTTCACTTTGAGAGACAAAAAAAAAAAAAACTGTCCAATAGTTCTAAGAGGAGGAATTAGACAAAATGAAGAGGAAGTACAGAATATCCCTGGGATGAAGAAAGACTCAAGTCTTCTAATCACATGGCCCATATATTGCCAAGCAGGATTAAAAAACATACATTCTCATATAAACACATCTACATGTATCCCTCTTAAAATTTCTGCAACAAAGTCATAATTAGCTTTCAGGGGAAGGGGAAGCATTATTTTCAAAAGAATCATTTCTTATTTATAGGAAACATCAGAAGTTAAAAACAAACAAAAAAACTAATGTATTCAAAGTTCTGGATGTTACTTAGCATCATTTTCTTAGACAGCTTTTGTTCCATTGCCAAGTTAAAAGTTAAAAGAGAATTCTGGACAGGTTGATACATCAGAGAAACACAAGCCCACCTTCTCTTTTTCCACTCTCTCTAAACACATAGCATGATAAAGTGTGTTTTTATATATCTTTAACTACTTACATTGCACTGAAAACAAGATAAACATCTCCCCAGACCAGATACAGAATGGAAATACAAAGTGATAAATGAAGGCTGAAGCCACAGACTTACTGACATAGAAGATTTTTATTACAGTGAGAACATTACAATGCAGAAGAAAAAATGAGGTTAAAGAAAATTTTAGAGATGTTAATGGATATTGAGAACAAAGATGATCGACATTCCTGAATTAAGAAACTAATGAATGAAATAGAGGAAGACTTCAAACGTGTCATACAGAAACATTCCCCTAAACTGAAGGAAGAACTGAATTTACATGTTGAAAGAACACTGTTTCACAGGAGAAATTGACATAGAGCTTTCAACACTAAGCCATATCCTGAAGGTTTTGAATTCCAACAACTAAATTTTTGTGCAAAAAAAGTCAAGTCTCCCCTAAGTAAGGAGGAGGGAGGAGGAAATCTGGCAGAGACCCTCCACAACAATATTCAATGCCAGAAGATGATTAGAAAATGACTCTAGAAAGGTCTAGGGAAAAGAAAGCATGGGCCAAAAGTATTACACCCAGACAAGTTGCATTGAATTTAAAGGCACAAGACAGATCCCTTTTAATAACTAAAGAACAGAACAGAAAATGTATGAGCTCTTCACATTCAGCTGGACCTGAATCAAAATAAATAACTTAGTAATGGAGAAACAGTGACACAAAGCCCGTGGTAAACACTGAATCTGTCTAAATGAAGCACTAATTATAAACAACTGTGGTAATTACAATTATAGAAGCAAATGCAAATGTTTTAAACCTTGGCAACTTAGAGTAATATAACTAACAAAATTAGAAGGTAGGGAAAGAAGGAAGTGAGAGAAGATAGAAGTCTTCTAATTTCCTTACTTACTATGGCAGGAAGTCAACTAATAAAGTCTAAAATTAGCGCATGTGGTTAAGATAATGACTCTAACCTCTCTTTTTTATTTTTTTTGGTAACTCTCTGTGGGGAAGGAAACCTTATCAGCAATTTTCATTTTCACTTCCACTTTTTTTTCTTGTGTTAAATTCAATTACATTTATTTTCATTTCAGTTTCTTCTGGTAAATTGGAATTTATAGTATCATTAAATTAAATACATTCTGCTAAAACATACAATATCATTTTTGGAAAATTAGTGCTATCTTGTTGTGTCCCTTTCTATCTGTCCCTACCCTCCTATC